GGTCCCACTTTGTTTAATTTGCTTAACAGTCCCCCGCAAATTAACCGCGCGAGTGCAAAGAGTTAATTTGTTGCGAAGTAGAAGAAATCGTGTAATGGGAAGACTCTTTGTAAAAATATCGGCTATCTGATCTGATCATTAGTAGAGATGTGATGAAGAGTGATAATCTTTGCCTTGATACACTCTCTAATATAATGTTGGTCAATCTCAATATGCTTTGTCCAAGCATGAAAAATGGGATTATTTGCTAGAGATACAGCTGAAACATTATCACAATATAGAAGAGTAGGATTGCTGCATTGAATTTTAAAATCCTGCAAAAGACGACTCAACCAAACAATTTCAGTGGTAGCCGCAGTGAGTGCACGATACTCGGCTTCTGTGGAAGAGCGAGAAATAGTAGATTGTTTCTTTGCACTCCAACTAATAAGCGTAGTACCAAGAAATACACAATATCCAGATGTAGATTTCCTATCAATTTTTTGTCACCAGCCCAGTCAGCATCAGCATATGTTGATAATGTGAAGTTTCCAAGTTGTATAGGTAGGCCGATAGAAAACAATTCCTTTTAAGTAACGAAGGATTCGTTTTAGAATTTGAAAGTGATGATTAAGAGGTTTGTGCATATGTTGACAAACTTGATTCACAGCAAAAGAAAGGCCAGGTCGTGTTATGGTCAAATACTGTAAGGAACCGGCAAGACTGCGGTATAAATATGGATCCGAGAAAGGAGTCTCATCATCAGGATAGTTCTGGGCTTTTGCTGAAAGGGGAGTTTGCAATGCATGGCAATCGGTCATTCCTGCTCTTAATTTCCAATAAAGCATTGGCATAGGATGTCTGATGTAAGAGCAAACTTGTACCTAACCGCTGCACTTGTAAACCCAGAAACGTGTGAAGCTTGCCAAGAATTTTGACTAGAAACTGTTGTTGAAAATCTTGTAATAATTGTGAAAGAGCTGCTTCATTATTTCCCATTAACAAAATATCATCTACATAAACAAGCAAGTAAATTGAAGTAGTTTTTGAGGTGTAGATGAGTAAAGAAGGATCCGCTTGACTGAAAATAAAACCCCATTGGATGAGATATTCAGTGAATGTTGAAAACCACTGTCTCGAAGATTGTTTCAAGCCATATATAGCTTTGTTCAACTTGCATACATAGTCCGGATTTATTAAATCGGTAAAACCCTTTGGTTGATGCATGTAAACATCTTCTTCAATTTTGCCATGTAGAAACGCATTTGACACGTCAAGCTGGGTGACGTTCCATTGGTTTGCGATGGCACAGGTAAGGAAGACACAAATGGTCTGAAATTTTGCTACCGGACTGAAAGTTTCGAAGTAATCAAGACCATATTCTTGGTTGTAACCTTGAGCCACAAGTCTTGCTTTGTAACGAGCAATGGTGCCATCATCATTTAGTTTGGTTCGGAATAACCACTTGTTTCCAAGCACATTATAAGAGGAATGAGGTGGCACAAGTGTCCAGGTACCTTGTAATTGGAGGGCTTGAAATTCTTCAGACATCGCATTTCGCCAATGTGAATATTTAATGGCATCAGTATAACTTGTCGGGTCATGGAGGTTATTAGTGACATGAAGAAGATTGAAGATTGAGCGTGGCTTTAGATTTCCTGTTTGAAAACGAGTGGTCATATGATGAGTTTTTAATGGGGGAGATGAAATGATTGGACTGGATGAACTGGAGGGGTAAACAGAAGATATACTTAGTGTTGGGACTTGGAAGGGTGGTGATTGATTTGCTGTATATGTGTTGGGGGAAAGAGTAGAAGTAGTTTGTGTTGAAGGAATAGGCACAAGCGTCAAGGGTGGAGGATTAGGAGAGGAAGGTGCATGTGTAGTAGTTCGTGTTGGAGGAGAATTCTGAAACGGGAAAAGATTTTCCTGAAATTTGACGTTAACAGAGGTAGTGACTTTGCCTGTTAAAATATTATAACAGTAGTAGCCTTTGGAGGCCGAGGCATACCCAAGAAAGATTGATTGCATAGCTTTAGGAGCTAGTTTGTGAAACTTATGTGGAGGTAGGAGCGGAAAACATAAACAACCAAACACTTTCAAAAATTTATAGTTTGGGAAACGATTGTACAGAATATGATAGGGTGAACAATTATTAGTAACAGGTGATGGAAGCCTATTAATGAGATATACTGCTGTGAGAGAAGCATACACCCAAAAGTGGTACGGTAAGTTGGCATCAAGAAGAAGTGTTCGCGTGGTCTCGATAATGTGACGATGCTTACGCTCAGCAAGACCATTTTTTTGGGGTGTGTAAGGACAAATGAATTGCTGTTGGATGCCATTATTTCGAAGGAAGTGCTGAAAGATTTTATTTGTGTATTAAGTACCAGAGTCAGATCTAAACACCTGAATTATGGTTTGAAATTGTTTTTCAGCCATTATTTTAAAATGTTTAAAATGCTGAAAAGTTTCAGATTTTTGTAGCATTGGGAACAACCAGGTGTAACGAGAGAAGTCGTCAATAAAAATAACATAATAACGAAATCCATTCATTGAAGGTATTGGGGAAGGTCCCCATACATCAGAGTGAATAAGTTGAAGAGGTTTCGTAGCATAAGAAGTTGAAACATTAAAAGTAGACCTATGACATTTGGATTGAGAGCAGGACAAACAGTTACTGGATACATAATTAATAGTTAAAGAGGGAAGCAAGGCCCGAAGTGTTGCCAACGTGGTGGAGTGAGGATGTCCCAGCTGCTTGTGCCAGAGAGAAGATGTTGGAGAAGAACCAAGAAGGCTGGAAGATTTTGTGTATAATGCAGTAGAAATTGGATACAACCCGTCATGGCAGCGACCTTGGAGGAGAGTGGAAAGATTCTTCGTGTCCTTTATTTTAAAACCGTTAGAATAAAAAAGAATAGAACAATTATTATTAGAGGTGAGTTGGCGAACTGAAAGCAAATTATGTGTGAGTTGAGGAACAAAGTATAGAGGTGTAAGTTTCAGCTTACGGGTGGGCGTGGGTAAAATTCCTTGGCCGGTGGTGACAATGGGCAAATGCTGACCATTCCCAACAGTTATATGGTTTGTGCCATTGTAAGGTTGTGGCTAATGCAATTGCGAAGAATCTATTGTTAAGTGTGAGCTGACTCCAGTGTCCAAATACCATTCAGAATTACCGGAATTGGACATAGCAGATAAGGCAGAGTTTTGCTGTGGCTGATAAGAAAAATCGCCTCTATACCAGCATGTGGTAGCAGAGTGACCACGTCGTTGACATATTTGGCATTCAACAGAGCGATTTGACGCTCGATTTCCACGACCAGCATTTCGTCCTCCACGATTGTAAGGTCGCGATCTATTAGCCGAGTAACGGCCCCGGACACGACCGCAAGAAGAAAGTAACGCGGTAGATGGATCAACGGTGTCCACGAGCTGAGTTTCCTCTAAAGCTTCTACAGTCAAATTGATCTCCTCACTGCACAACAAGGAGTACAGATCTCCAAGCTGAGTGGTTGCAAATTTATCCGAATGGAGGTTTTGAAAGCATTATAGTTTCCCGGTAACCCATTGAGGGTGTATAAGATTATATCTTCAGTGTCTATGCTGCTACCAGCAGCATTGATCGCATCGACTTTGGATTTAACAAGAGAAAGATATTGCGTCATCGTCATATCTTTCATGGTTAAATGGTGAAGTTCATTCTTAAGTTGTAGTATGCGTGACCGATTCGTAGATTGCAGCCGTTTGTCAATGGTTACCCATACAGAGTGAGTGTGGTCTAAGTTTAGAACATAAGGTAACAACGGAGGAGAGATAACTGAATACAAGGCTGCTTTTAAGTTCTGATCTATAAGTTGCCAAAGTGTAAAATCAGGATTAACAGAGGAAGATTGATCAGAACCTATTATATACTTAGTCGGAGCAGAGGCAGAACCATCAAGAAACCCATGGAAACCATTTGCTTGGAAAACTTTGATAACCTGAGCTCTCCAGGTAGAGTGGTTATCAGGGGTAAGAGAATAATGGACAACATTTTTAATGTTGCTCATAAGAAACTTGAGGGAGGAGGGGATTTGCGTGTCAGTCAGATGACTGTAAGCAGATGCTGCTGCCGGAGAGGAGGTAGACGAAGTGGCCGAAGCAGACATTTGAATGCAGAAAATCTTACTGTAGCAACTCTATAAATAAGCAGAGAGAAGAACCTTACGGTAGGGGCTCTGATACCATGATAAATTCTTCATTTAATATCTGAGAACAAGCATTAATACATTTCCAGAAGACTGAAAGGAACGATCAAGAACGAACAGAGAGCATTAAATCTAGTTTTCCGCTTCTCCATTGCCTTCGACTGCTAGTGTTTGTTCTTCCTCTTAGCCATTTCTTTGTAGCTGCTTTGGCTTTGCTTAAAATACGTTCTTTGAAAGAGTCGCTAAAGAAGCTTATTCGCATCCTTCGATGTCATCATATCTGAAGTCACAACGGGAGTTGCTCGCTGCGAAGGTAATCATCTTTCTTCCCTTTCGCGCAATTCTTCAGTCAAATCCTGTAAATTCGTCGAACTCAAGAGGGAAACGGAGGATTCTACTCGATGAGAAGTTTAGAGGCTGTTTGGTAGCACCGAGGATTTCATTTAAGTAGGATTTCCTAAATCCTCTAATTCCAGATTTATGAAATCCTTATGGGTTTAAATCCTAAAAACTGTTTGACAACATTTATGATAAATCTTATGTGACTGATTGGCCATTTAATTCAGGTTTTAAGGCGGTTAAAAGATTTTACATGCATTTCATCAATAATTAAAGTATTAGGTGGTTAAAATATTTAAGGCGTTTAATTATTATTTATAATATTTGATAATTATTATTTTCATTTAAAATCATATTTAATCCTATTAATTATTTTGAAATAACTAACTATTTAACTAATAATTTTATTAATTATTTAATTAGTTTTTCTTAATTATTAATATTTGAAATTATATTAAGTTATCCAACTAAGTTAACTTAGAGTAGTCTAGGTTTTGCCTTTCCCTTCTCTTTTTCTTTCGGCTTCGTTCCTTCGCAGCAGTGTAGAGTTTTTCACGAGTTCTTCGTCGCTGTTCGACTTCGCTCCTTCGACGACGTTACCTTCCTGTTGGAGCGGAAGTTACGACATTTTTTGTTCGGAAGCAACAAAGGGAGGTCGCTTTCTGTGAAGGTAATTTTCTCACTTTCGCCCGCTTCTTCGGCCAAATCCCGTGAATCCGCCGAACCAAAGGATTTCGTAAATCCAGGATTTACCACGAAAAGAGGGAATTTTCCGTCAACCGGGGGCCGGGGCTTTGATTTACCGTGAGATTTGTTTTTGCATTTTTGACCGTTTGGCTGGATTTAACTCAAATCCGGCCTAAATCCTGCATCCAAACAGCCCCTTAAAGTTGATTTTTGCCATTTCACAGTATTTAGGTCGCCCTTAGCTAAAACCCTAACGACTAAAGCCACCCGCAACCTAGGGGCTCACAACAGCTTTCCGTGGAAGATGGGCAAGAAGAAGAAGTCATTCATAGATAAGAAGAATTCCGCAACTTTCAAGCTTCTCGCTTGCGATACTTCTACCTTCCCGGAATCTGCCGCGGCTGCTGTTCCCCCGGTAACCGCCCGCGTATTCGTCAGGGTTGATAACAATTCTGTTAACGTACGAGGCATCTTCGAGGACGACAATGGCAGAGACGATCGTGCTGCCCCCGAGCCAGCAGGCCTGAAAGGAGAAGATGACGTCGATTCCATATTTGCCGATGCGCCTGGCGACACCGATGATGAAGGGAGCTTCTCGCAGCCATGGCCGAGTCATGTTGCCCGCGGCTCGAGTGATCGGACTTCCCATTTTCTTCCGGATGAATTTAGAAAGGAAATCCTGGAGCTTGGGTTGCCCGACGACGGCTATAACTATCTTCAGCATCTTCGGGAGATCAGCAACGCTGGCGCTGGCTCTGCTTACTATCAGAACAGCAAGGCAAGATTAGATCTTGTGCCGCTTGATGTTAAGGTATGTCTAGTTTTTCTTCTTTAAAGGGTTGCATTTTCTAGTTTGGAATTCACTGATTTTTTTCCTGATAATCTTGTAAGGCCTTTGATGCCAAGAGGCTAACAATTAGTGGAGCTGAATCAAAAAAGAATTCAATCTATGCTGTTGCATCTAAGGCGGTTGGTATTAAGGTTCAGAAGGTTGTTGATCCTGATGTGTCGAGGTTGCTCGAGGATAGCGATCTGTCAAGGTTTGGGTCTGATACCGAGGAATTTGAGGATGATTTCGTGTTCAAGGCCAATCTTCCTGAGGGAAATGAGGGGGAAAGTGAAGAAGTTGAAGAAACTGAACCAGGAGCTGGTGAAGCTGAAAGGCAAATGTGCTTGATCAAAACTGAGCAGGAGGGTGAGTCTTTTGATGAGGATAGTGAAGATGAGTTGGATGATGGTGACAAGCCTAGAATTCACAGGCTTCTGGACGAACAGTTTGATTTGGTGACTACTCTTTTCTTGTTCACATGATAATTTTATCTTTCTTTGAAGAAAATTCTCTTATAATCGTATATAATTTGCTGTTAGGTCATATTCATTGAACTGGTTGCTGTTTCTTTCATGCTGCCAGTTCAATGACATAATTTTTGTTGAATCTAAACTTGAAAGGTTGTTGCAATTCCTTCTAATGAGAATCTCCCATTTGGTTCCTGCCATATTTACATTTTTAAAAGATTCTAATTCAAATTATACACCAAAATAAATAGAGGGATAGAGTTTTTTAGTTATTATTTTTGATAAATAAATGCCAAGAAAATATACATGAAACAGTGAATGAAGCTATCTAGTGAACAAATCAACCTTAAACAATGAACTATGAGATTGTACAAACAGAAGTGGAGCTATTTCTTAAATAATGATAAAAATTGGCTACTTATATGTGTTTGTGTTGATATCAACTGCAGTTCTAAAATAACTAATGTGTTGTTGTATTTAACTTATCATGTTTTGAAATTTTGTAAGGTTGATTTAATAATATGTTATGCTTTTTACCATACACTCTGGACCTGATAGCAGTTTGAAGAAGGTGATAGTTTGTTATACATTCATCAGAGTTTCTGTTCATGGTATGATCGTTACTTCATGACAATAGTTTGTATTCTTGTTTAGAGACAACTAAATTTTTTTGGAAACACATGCAAAGTATTCATTAGATCACAGGAAGTACTTCTTTGTTGGGATAGAAATTGAAAGTTGATTACAGTAGTGTGTATAATTTTGGGAGATTTCTCATTTTCATATTGAGAAAACTTCTTTTGATAAATCATAGCTTTTCTCAATTATTATACTTTAATATGTTTATTTTTATTTCCAATGGTCATTTGTCTTTTTCTTGTACTTATGATCTTTTCTTTTTATATTGTGAGCACTACAGAACTTTAAATAAGCATAATTTAATCTCTGTTTAAAATTGCGCAATTAGAGGCGCGCCTTGAGGCGCGCCTTTGCGCAATTCCTTCAAAAAACGCCTCATAACCTACGCAATTCTGTGTCCTTAAGAGGCGTACGCCTCATTGGGACTGAGGCGCGCCTCAGAGGCGCAATTGCGCAATTTCTGGTGAGGCGTACGCCTCTCTGGGATAGGGCCTACTCACTTAAAATGAGCCCTTTTCTCTCCTTTTACCCAATAGCCTTCAGCAAAGAGCAAACCCGACATTTCTCCCTCCCGCACGCTCTAGGTCGCGCCTCAGCACGCACGCCGTCGGCCTCCTTCCCGCCGCTTCTCCTGCCGGTACCGCCTCTCTTCGACGAAGTGGAAACTTTCGGCCGCCCTCTAGGAGTACTCCACATTGGATTTTAGGTATTTTTATTAAGTTTAGGGATATATTTTTCAAGTTTAAGAAAAACTAGGGTTCATATTATTTTTATTTTTTTTAGTGTATTTGATTTTTTGCTTTAGGAGACATGATTAGAGGTAAAGAAAAGACGAATACGTCATTGCGGAGGGACCCTTCTTGGAAGTATAGTGTACAAGTTGACATTAGCGGCGGAGAGAAGAGCTATGGTTTTATTTGAAATGTAATTTTTGCCGATAAAGTGGTGAAGTGGAGTTTACCCGCATGAAGGAACATCTATCATGCTCGCACAAAAATAGTAGCACTGTGCAAAACTGCCAGACAATGTGAAGGAAGAAATAAGTGCTTACATGAAGAAACTACCACTGCTAAACACGTTACAACAGGAGCAATTGATGATAAGGCGGTACATGGTGTCTTATTGTGAGCGATAGTGAGAAAGGGCTTTTCCTCCCTAACATAGTAACATGTAGAGGTGCAGCGGTCCTATTGTGAGTCAGTATATGACTATCCAGGAGTGGATAGAGGAGAAGCAGAGATGAGCATGCAGCTGCTACTTTAGAGAGGGTCAGCACAGTTTCATGGACATTGTGGGTTTTTTTGAGAATGCCAAACCATTTAATGTTGCTACATCGCCTGCCTAATTCGTATGTTTGCGGTCTGTAGGATTGTATGGAAGAGGGTTGAAGGCCACATTCCATGTATGAGTTGCGAAATGGATTTTAAAAGAGGAGCTGCATAACACAGAGCGAAGCATTCAGGAGATTAAAAGGACATGGATTTAGACTGGTGACTATTAGTCAGATGGATGGTCTGACATGAAGAGCAGGAGCTTGATTAACATCCTTGTCAACAATCCCTACACGGCACGGTGTTCTTCACGATCAAGTTGATGCTTCAAGGAGGTGAAAATGCTATATTTCATTTTTTAATTTACGTTGATTGTGTTATTGAGGAGATTGAAGCAATTGGTTGTCAGGTAGTGACTGAATGTCAGTGCATACAAAGCAGCTGGTCAGATGTGATAGAAGATGACACACCTAGGGCTGCAAGCGAACCAAACGTTCGTCGAGCTACTCGTTGTTCGGTCGATTAAAGCTCGTTTTGCGATCGTTAATTTAACTATAACAAACAAACCTGAACAATATTTTTAATATCCGATCTTAAATAAACAAACTCTTAGACACTACTAATGCTATCGGCTCATTTAATGTTCGCGAATCAACATCATTTGAAGTTCGTGAACAAGCTCGATATTAAGCTCGATAAAAGCTCGATTCATGTTCGATTTGAACTTGAATAGGAATAAGCTCGATATAAAAAATAATTAATTAATATAATATAAAACATTACTTTGTTACATAGACAATTGCTTTTAGTAGTAAATGTTGTTTGTTATCATAAAGATATGTTCAATGAACGTGTTTGCTTGATAGTTAAAAAAATTCGTTAAATATGTTCGGCAACAAAGCCTCGCACTAAAAACTAAACGAACGAACATGAACTGAACATGAACCAAACATGAACACTCCTTAATTTATAATATAACCAAACATGAACACAACGCTAAATTCGAACAAACATGAACCAACTTGAACAAGCTGATATTAAATGAACACAAACATGAAACACTCACATACTCGGCTCGGCTCGGTTCGTTTGTAGCCCTAGACACACCTATAGGTTTGCCACCTCCTATTTGACACTGCAGAGCTTGATGGAGGTATGGAAAGATTAATACCGGAGCAGGCAGATAGGAGCTTGCAGATTTACAGCCTTGTTCTGTCCGTCAATAAAGAGGATTTTTTTGGTTTGAATGCAGCAAAAGCAACCATTTCTAAAATCTCCAGGTATAATTATTTTGTAAATGCAAAACACTTTATTCAGTTCTGATTATGTTTTTTCTTGAAAACAGTTGAATGGTGGATCAATTTGGTTCCACCCTGATTACAGAGTTTTTGCTGAAGAGTGTTGGCCTTCACTTGTTCTCTTCTGGGTGGAGCGAAAATCTGGAGTAGCATATAGCCAAGTGCAATCAACTAGATGAGAAGAATCGGCTATACATCAGAATGAAACTCGTTCATGTATTATATATGCACACTATGATGTTGAGAGATGAGAGAGGTTGAGGAAAATAGGGGTTGAAAGGATGTAGTGACTCATTAGTGTGTTGATGATACCTGATGTCGCTGATAATGAGTGTTACATATGCAGATAGACAGAATTTGCCTATTATAGACTTACAGTAGTAGATCTAGCTGTAGATGTTTTGAGAGCGCGACAGCCACAGATCAAGTTGCACATCCTACTAGTACTACACCACACACATCATAGCTTGCAACGCACAATCAATCAAGTTTAACATTCCACAGAGACTTCTTATATGCTATACATTACAGTTATTGTCAATGAGCATGAACCATGAATACATGATTAAGTGTCTTTCTCTCTTAATCGAACAGGGAAGAGAAAAGTGAGTCATGTTGAAGATGATGATGACATGGCATTCATAGATACAATTGGAGAAGAAGATTCACTTGAAGATCTATTTAGTGATGGGATATGATTTCATTTTATATGTTTTTTGTATTCTGGGAGTTTTGGGATATGATTTCATTTTATATGTTTTTTGTATTCTGGGAGTTTTGTTAAACTAATATTTTGTGATTTTGTACTTTGGGACATGATTTTATTGCATCTACTTTCTTATTTTTCACTATTTTCATATATCATTTAGATGTTTTTATTGTAAGGTACAATATTGCTATTATTTTCCTGCTAAAACCCTTGATTTTTCATTTACGCAATTCTGTGTCCGTGAGGCTTACGTCTCAGACCGCCTCGCCTCACGGACGAAAACCACCTCGAGGCTTAATTACGCAATTTTAAACCTTGAATTTAATTGATAATTTTAATTGGGACCTCTTCTAAAGTGAAAAATTAGAACAATGAAGGAAATTTTTACACAAATCTTAGGATTAGTTTTCCAGAGGCGAGTTCGTATGCAATTTTAATGAACATCAAATTTATAATTATCAATCAATAATATAAAATAGTTCAAGTGGTACTTAGATGTGAAGGTTTAAGTATTTTGGATCAAATATGCGAAAGATCGAGCTTATACAAGGGGTAGTAACTATTAAAATTCAAGTGGGTGTTTAAAATATAGAAGTGTCTTGATTATGTAAGTACTTAACCTTAGAGTTTGTAAAATTTTTATTAGCATATGAGGTAGATTATATATTTATATGATTTTGATTGTTAGGAAACAAAGAAATGACTAATTCTTTAGTTGAGTATGAGAGAAAGGAAAATGTTAACATGGGTGCATTGTAAAATTAGTGAGGATGAAGTTTAAAATATTGTATTAGGCGAACAATGGTATCTTCATCTTCATTCATTCTTATTGAGTTTTTCTTGATGTGTTAAATCTGTTAATTGTAAATCTTTTCGAGCAACTTCTGTTGATCTAGGGAGCAAAGAAAGCTGGTGATCAATAAGATTTTTTATGATCATTATTTGTGCATTAGATTGTGAAAGATTAAATAGATTTTTTTTAACAATACATTTCTTTATGGGAATGTTGAAATAGATGATTTTTGATAATGCCATTTAGATCAGAGAGGATGTCGTCGAACAATCAGATTGTTGTTCATACATTATAAGTGGGAGACCACGACCAAGAAGTTGAGCCATTTGATCAATTTTTTTATTATGGCATGATAGTGAGAGTTTGAATCTTTTTAACTTATTTGGATAAGTTTTTTTTTATATATAAATTTATAATAGGTTAGTTTCTATAAGAATGATCATTTAGTTTAAATTAATTTTATTTATGATTTGTACCTAGTGTTTTTATTTCTTTGTTGAGTTTGTTTAGGAAGTGGATAGTTCAATCTACACTTTAATCTTATGTTTTATATTTTTGCAAAAAAAAAAAAAAAAAAATTTCATTTTTTATTTTTGAAAAAAAAAAAAAAAAAAGAAATTTCATCTTTTCTTTTTATTTTCTCTTTCTCTTCTCATTACCAAAAAAAAACCCTGAAGCCCTTAAGGATCATTAAACCTTGGGTGCTATTGTTGTAGTCTCTAATCCCTTAGAATGCTCCTTGCCTTGCATGGGTTGTGGCCTTCTTGTATTGTTGTTGATTGATTGCTAGCTGTCTTGCTAGTAAAATATTATAGCATTGTCATTGTTTTACCATTAAAATTATCGACAGAAAAATCATACCATTGAGACCAGAGAGGATGGCTTGCAGTTCGTAGGAACGATTAGCAATTTGAGCATACATTATAAGGGGGAGATCAAGGGTTATGAAGTTGTACAATTTGATCAAAATTTAGATTATAGCATGATAGTGGCGAGTTTGAATTTTTTGACTTATTAGAATAAGTTTGCATTTGAATTTAAGTTCCTATAGGAATTATTATTTAGTTTAAATTTTATGATTGCTTATTTGTAGATAGGGTTTTAATTTCTTTTTTGAATTTGTTAGGAAGTAGATTAGTTAAATCTCCATAATAATTATCTATCTTTGATTTTTATGCATTTTAAGATTTTATATTTTTGTAGTCCCACAAGAAATCATTCCTCCCTCCTATAAATAGGTGACATATTGCTTTACTTATTTTTAGAACTCTTTTGCTTAGGAGAGTTCAGAGATAGTGAGGGGATTCTATTGACGCCCATAGGCTAGTTCAAGTTTCACATAAGTCCTTATGTTAAGTTCACTGCTCAACTTATCATTCGTAATTTCAAATTTTGTTCTCATTCTATAATTTAAATTTTGTTCATTTTATTGCAATTATGTCTCAAAACCTTTTTTTTTTGCTTGGGTCACCAGTCAATGTAAATTCAACAACCTCCCTCCTGTAGGGGCATCTACGGGAGTGCTAGGACTTCTTACCATGCATAAAAAAGCGTGCATGATTGGTGTTGCACAGCACCACATTAAAACAATATGCATATGCATTCATCACCTGAATGAGAAAGTGCGAAATTTTTCTGTTGCGTCGAAATAATGCACGCAAGTACTTAATTTACAAGTTCGCCGCTGTACGGAGTAATGCTTTGGGTACTTAATTTTGAGCCTTTGAGTGCTATCTTGTGCGAGACATCAATGATGCGGTAGCAATATTTGCTTTAAGACAATAAGTACACACTTTTTTGTTTTCTCCTTTTTTCATTTCTCTTTTTTATTTTCTTTTCAATTTTTTTTTTCCTTTTGCGAAGTTTTTTTTATATGAGATGGAGAGAAAGAAGAAAGAGAATGAAGGAGAAAGTGGGAAGGAGGGTTCAAGAGAAATGAATGATTTCCTCTCTCTCTCTCTCTCTCTTCAGAGAGAGAAAGAAATGTAGAGAGAATACTTGATAGAAAAAGCGGTAGAGAGGAAAAGAGTTAGAAGGAAAATAGAAAGTGTTAGAAAGAAAGAGCTGGGGAGAAAGGAAGAGAAAACTTTGTTTAAAGAAAGAGAGTAGAGAGAGAAGGAGAGAGGGTTAGAGAGAGAATATAGAAATATTTATCTATTTAGAGAGAGAGAGAGGGGTGAGGTGGCAGAGAGAATGGGTGAGGTAGAGAAATTGAGGGATTGAAGGAGAGAGAGTGAGAGTGAAAGAGAGGGAGAAAGAGAAATAGAGAGAGAAAGATGGATTAGTGGCTTGGATCACCAATGATGATAGTTGTGGTGGGTTAGGAAGGCAAGCTAGAGGATCAGCGGTTACTACATGTAATAGGAGCTGGTGGCAAGCAGGCGTTAGTGAGTGCAAGTGGGGATAGGAGGCACGTGGGATTTATTGGAGGCATTCTCTCTGCGATAGGATAAATCAACTTTTTAAACCAAACAATAAACAGTAAAATACCAAAACAGCCTCCCTCTAATTTCCTCCCAAATCAGCCCCAAATTTGCCATATTCCCTTAATTTTTTTCCTCCCAAATCAGTCCTCAAATTTGCCCCCAAATCTGTCTTCTTTAATTAGGAAATAATTCCTAATTAATTCCCTGCAAATCACTCCTCTTCAATTAAAAAATATTTTCTAATTAACTCCCTCCAAATCAGCCCCCAAATATATCCTCTTTAATTAGGAAACATCTCCTAATTGATTCCATCTAAATCAGCCCCCAAATCAGCCTCTTTCCCTTAATAAAACCTTCCTAATTCCCTCCTAAATCTAATTCAAATCAGCCATCTTTCCCTAAATAATTTTTCATAATTATTTCTTCCATGATTTCTCCTCACATAATGAATATTAACTCCCTTGGGCTCCAAAAGGTGGGCTGTCCTGGTTTATCAGCTATCAACTAACTCATGTCATAACTCTCCAAATTTGGAAAACACCTGCTATTTTACTATTTTTTATAGCAAATAGGAGTTGGTATAACCAATGTTTAAAATTGTGTATTCGGATATTGAGGCATTTTTCATTCGTGAGGCGAGGCGTAAGCCTCAAGGCGTTTTGAGGCGTAAGCCTCAGAATCAAAAGATTGCGTAAACATAAATGATAATTTTTTATATACTAATGAGTGAATAGTATAAAATATAAAAAAGCATAAGATATGAAGTGAAATTCCCAATAATAAGACAACATGAAATATAGTTCAACTCAAAATTCTATGTTTCCCAAATCCTAATATTCTTTTCATTAACATATAATTCAAATTTTCAAAAATAAATAGCAATGACATATCACATAAGAACTCATAAGTCATCAGCATTGTCATCACTAAGGGGTTCTTCATTTGAATCATCATTATGATGAACTGCTCTCGCCCCTTCCTCCTCTCCTATAGAGTCCAATGTCGGGCATTTAATTCAAGATTTATATAAGTTTTAATATATATAGCGTGAGGCGTAAGCCTCATGCCAGTGAGGTGAGGCGAGCCTCAACCAAGTTGAGGCGCAAGCCTCATAAAAAAACTCGAGGCGTAAGCATCGAGGCATTTTTTACTGGAATTGTGCAAAGGCAGACCTCAAGGCGAGCCTCATATTGCGCAATTTTAAACCATGGGTATAACCACAAGTGGACCAGAAAAAATATTAAAAAAACAAAGACAATTTATTTGCAATGATAAAGCTAAGTTAAAAGGTTGGTATATCATAAATCATCTATAAATGTCACCTTAGCTTTTATCATTTTTCTGTTCTTATTCGCTTGACATTAATTTTATCTACCAATTTCATAGGTGCATTTATACATTCATTGTACATGTCTAAATCACCATAATCTTATTTTTAACTACGTTCAATAGATTTATTTGCAATCATCTATTTTTATCTACCAATTTCAAATTTAGTTATTTTTAATTTATCTTTTTGCAATTTGCTACACATCCATCATAATATTCTCATTTCTATCATGCTCAGGCAGCTCAGCTTAGTATAATCTATTCTTTAACAACCAACATTCAAATCAATATAATACAATCAACTTAATTATGATTTTATAAAATTTACCTTAAAGTCTCCCCTCATAGCATCATATCATGTAGCATTTATTTGGCACTATTTATTGAAGATAGGATAGTAAATAATAGATAAGCAGTTCGGTCTTGTACAACAGTGGGATTGCAAGGTGAGCAAAATTTGTGGCAAAAAATGGGCAGTTAAATGTAATGCAGAAGAATTAGGAAGGTAAGGGTGTAAACTAGCAACAGCATGACTAAAAGTAGAATAAAAATATTTCTACAAAATAAAGTTAGCACATCATGTAACATTTCATAAGGAGAAATGATGGCGATTTTATGAAGCTAACCTCAAATAATTCAGATGAGAATATGGTAATTCTGAAAATTAAATTAGTGTGTCAACCACTCAAATTTGACTTAAGGTTCTCTGTATTGAAAATTGAGCCTTTTTCTTTAGCTGCATTCATTATTTTCTATCCCTGTAAGATGTCCTTAGTTGGTTCTTAATATTATCTCGTGTCTTATTTGGCTTTTGTTTCTTTTACAGCTCGCACTACAAGAGTATGGTGAAACATATAGTGATGATGATGGTTATCTAGGAGAGGAAGGTGAGACAATTGTTGCAAAGCTTCATGATGCTCTAAAGGAGTGCAAGGTGGATGATTTAGAATTTGAAGAGCACTATAGAGTTCCTGGGGATTATGTACATAAACAAGATGCACACGTGGGGATCCCGTTGGATGATTCTACGGATGTAATTAGCAAGTGTAGAGAGTATGCTGATAAGTATTGTGATGATGATGAGGATGAAGAACAGTTTATCATGGTTGAGGAAAGTAGTGATGAATTAGAAATTTGGGACTGTGAGACTATTGTGTCTACTTATTCAAACCTTGACAACCATCCTGGAACAATAAAAACTCCAGAGATTCTGAAAAGAAAATTTGCAAAAAGCTTTCCAGTTGATTCAATTCGAAAGACTGATATGATTGAACTTAGAGGAAAAGAGAAGCTTCCAGTGGAGTTTTTACCACATGCCAAAAAGGATCTTGAGAAGGTGAAGAAACCAGCTGGTTTTGAGAAGCAAAAGATTAAACCACGTAGAGAGGAATCAAAAGATGAGAAAAAAGAACGCAAGGTACAAATAGATATCTTTAGTTGTTTCTCATTTTTTTTCTGTTGCTGCATGAAAATGGAGTTTGGCATATCAATTGGTTTTTTATGTTAATTACAAAGGTTACAGAGTGTGTGGCTTTAATACCCAAACCTGCTGCTGTTGCAAAAAATTGAATCACTTTATTTTCTTTACGCTACATGGTGCAATTTGTGTTATGCTTATGTATATTTTGAATACTTGTAGCTGCGATTATTTTTTTACATCAGTTAAAAAGTATATTTAATTAATTAGTGTTTGGGTTTTTTCTTCTATATCCATCCGAGCATGCATGCATGAAGATGATTTGGCCATGCATCAGTAATGTAAATTTAACATCCTAATGGATGGTCTAGACCATAAAATAAATTATTTATTAATTTTCTGATGTAAGAACACCAAAATCATATGAATTTTTTGAACATGTATAGTGTGACAGTTGAAATTATTTTCAATGGCTTAGATTTCAACATTTGTAGGTATGCTTATGTTTATGTTTAGTGAGGGGCATTACAGGACGTCCATTTTTTTATCAAGTTTGATTAATGGTCAAGCATTCATAGTAACTTTAAATTAGATCATCGTGTTGTTATTAGGTTGTAGATCAACATCACTTTTCTAGATCTTATATTTGAATCTACTAAAATAAATATCTAAATCTATATCATCATGAATAACAGGACATAAATTTTCACAAATTTTCAACGTTATGTAGTCTTGCATTAACCATGCAAATATAATCCCCTAGTGAAGAGTATTATAATAATTCATTAATATCATAATCTAGACTATTCAAATCATGTGATATTTTAATTCTGAATTGTGTACGATCTGGAATAATTTCAATGGATTTGATTTAAAAGCTAAAAATAATAATAAAGTGACTTTTAGTGAAGCACATCAAGTATCAATTCTTTTTCATCAAGTTTGAGTAGTAATCAAATATACATAGAAGTGATCAAATAAGATAAACGATTGTTTGAAGTTGTAGATTTACATCAATGATCTTGATATTTTGTTTGAATGTAATACTATAAAATTTATCTGGACAAGGAATGAGTTTTTACCATAAAAAGTATGAGATAGCAGGTGCATTTTATACCTTTCATCCACATTTTTTAATGGTGTAGATTTAAATAGATTATTCTTTTTTTTTCCACTTTGAAATATGAGATTTAAATATATAATTCTCCTTTTTTACTTCGAAACTTCATATTTATTGAGCTAAAATCTATTTTAAATGTCATAACTAATTTATTCCTTACCCTACATTATGACATCATATCTGCGAGCTCCCGCGACACACATCCCGATTCCTCATCAACAAGGAGGAAAAGAAAAAAAAAGATTATTGTGGCAGATTGCAATCTGTTATCTACTACCTGCAATGATGCTGATAAACTCATTATAGTAATCTCATCCTTCATGCCAATAGGCTTCAAGGCTGAATACAAGCAGGATACATCCTGCTCTAATTGTTTTCTTTAGTCACCTTCATGTTGATTTATTGCTGGGAAATTGCCTTAACAAAGTCTACAAGCCTTAGTTTATGTTCTTATGAGTATCATTCTGGAAAGATCTATAATATGATCATTGTGGAACTGTTATGTTTATTTATCATTTTTATTATTTTGACCGTTTACTGCTTATGTAATTACTAATGCTGTATGTAGGTAGCTGTGAAAGAGGAAAGGAGAGAAGCTAGACGTGCGAAGAAAGAACTTAAGGGTCTGTACCGATGCGAAACCCAGAAGGCTCAGAAGGTTGCTGCCGTTTCAATGCCATCTGCTATCCACCTTATGTAAGCATCTTCTTCTTAGGAGAAATAATAGTCCTTTTTATAAGTTAATTAATCTCTGCCTTAGTTTTGTTGACAATATGGAACAGTTAATGTCTGCTTTAATCACTGGCATTCTTGTCTTTTCGAGAGATTAATTTCATAATAGAATTGATCCTTATATTTAGACAAATATAAATGATAGAAAGAGAAAAAATAATAGTTGAGCATTCTCAATTAAGAGAATGCATTACATAATGAAAACAAAATATTTTCTAATTACTAACTTTTCAATTTGATAAATCTTTATAGTAACACTCCCCTCAAATTCGAGTGCAAATATCATAAAGATCCAACTTTTTGTAAAGGTTGAAGAATCGAAGAGGTCTCAGTGGCTCAGAGTTTTTGTAAAAATATTTATTAATGTTCTTCATCAGAGACATGATAAGTGATGAACATCTTTGACAAAATTATATCTCGAATGAAATGACCATCTATTTCATTGTGTTTTGTTCTTTTGTGAAAAAAATAAAGTTGCTACTAACATGGATGGATGCCTGATTATTACACTTAAAGAATAATAGGTTAGAGTAACAAGAAAGAAACTCTTCAGTAAGATCTTTTATCCACTTCATTTGATAGGTGGAATGCAAATATTTGTATTTAGCTTCAATGATAGATATAACAATAATAATATACTTTTTCTTTCTCAATGAAATAAGATTTTCTCCCACAAAAATATAACATCTTGCAATAGACTTCCAATCTTAACAAATTCAAGATAGTTAACGTTGGAGTTGACTTACCTGTAGTTGATTGCGCTTCTAAAGAACTGGTCATTTTCTTATAGACTTCTTAATATATTTTAAAATACTTGGACAACATTTTGGTTTTCTTCTTTGGATCATATGCTGACTTACCACACCAATAGCGATGGAAATATTTGGTTGATTGATAGTTAGATAAGCTTATTAACCAAGCAACAATAATGAATAGTATCTTTAAAATTTCCCTATCATTTAAAGCCTATGAAGCATCCATAGGAGAGATTTGGTAGCTTTTCATTAGAATCCTAACTTCCTTAATTATGTTTGTTACACATTTCACTCGAGATAGATCATCATTGATGTATGTAAACTCGATTTCGAGAAAGTATGTTGGATTTCCCAAAAATTTTTAATAGATCTCTTCTCCAAGCTGATAGTCTTTCACTTACTCTAAAAGCCAGTCTTTGTCTGCCAACAGTGATGAAAGTATATATGAAGTATCATTTTGAAAAGAAGACTCTGGCAGTTGCTATGAAGAAGTTAGTGGTCATGAAGTCAGCAACTCAAATGATGGAGATCAACCTTAAAATGAAAAATCAAGATTAAAAACCTTGAAAAATTCATGATGAAATATGAAAAAAGTTTAAAAAGAATCAACAATAAAGACAAATCATAAGACCTCTCTCCTTCCTATTTTAACAATTTGTACAACAAAGGGAAGCCAACTAACTATTTCCCAATAGAAGATTATTAGATAAATTTAGTAGCCAAAAAAGTTAAGCTCTCATATGTTTTTATTGCAAACAAGAAAAATAGGCATTACTATCTCTAACAATGTCGTCGCCAACATTGCCAATACCCATCGATGCTATCCATCGATACCAATGTTGATGCTCGTCGTCAAAATGGTTGAAACTTGTCGCCATTCTTAAGATTGACGCTCGTTGGCTGTTGGCATCACCAAGAATATTATCTGTCATCAATACCAATACAAACACCCATCATTATCAATCAGGCCTACTCTTTCCATCTCCATAAACATCAATGCATGCTTATTGTCACTAAGGCTTGGTTTGGGATAGTTTTTTTCCTGCTTCTAAAAGCAGCTTTTTAGTACAAAAATTAAAATTTTTGTACTAGAAAGCTGCTTTTAGAAGCAGGAAAAAAACTATCCCAAACCAAGCCTTAGTGACAACAAGCATGCATTGATGTTTAATTTTTGTACTAGAAAGTTGCTTTAAGAAGCGGTAAAGAAACCGTCTCAAACGAAGCCTAAGTCGATGTCTGCTTTTTTAATCACAATCTTCACTTCTCTACAGGGAACAGTCAGATCAAAGCCCCAAATGTCTTTTGAACAACATTCCAATTCTTCAAATCTCCATCAACTTCAAATTACATTTACCCTAAACCATAAACCCTAAATTAACTGCATTTCAACTTCAAATTACATTTACCATTATAAATATCTTTGACAATTTTCTTGCTTATTTTGATGTGAATTATATTAATCAATATTTTGGCCAATCTTACCAAATGATTTACTAATCGGTAGAATATATGTTGTATCAATGGCAGGTAACATCCATTTCGGCTTTTCCATTCTATGAGAAATTGTCTCCAAGTTTTGGATGATGCAGAAGTTTTGCCAAATAGGTCATGTTGATTATCTTATTCACCTTTCTGTTTGATATAGCGTTCTTACAATTATTAACAGCTTTGCTTTTGGTTGCCTTCCTGCAGTGGTTTGGCTCCCTTTTCAATATTTATTTCTATCAGCTCCTTTCATTCTGTATGGTTACTGTGATCAAAGTCAATTTTTTTTTAGAGAGAAATGGATAGTCCATACATTAGATAATTCTTATTGTTGTTTAGAATCTGTTTGGGATAGCTGCAACTTTTTGTATATATGATTGTAAAATTATTGTGGACAAATTAATTTTTTAAAAAACTATTGTGAAAAGCAGCTTCCTAGTAAATAAGGCTTCGTTTGGGATAGCTTTCTTATTGCTTCTTAAATTAACTTTTTAAAAAGCTATTTTAAGAAGCATTAAGAAAGCTGTTCAAAACGAAACCTAAATTTCTTGAAAGCAATAAAAAAAATATAAAAATTAATTGCGGTCTAAAAAATAAAGCAATAAAAAAGTTTCCTGAAAAAAATCTTTAGATTTTGACAAACTTGTTGTCGAGAATACTACTCTTGAGATGGGCGAATTATTACATCCGGTCACCGGACGTCTGGAACCCAATCCAAATGAGTCACGTCACCTGAATATATTGGGTTCCGGTGTATTTTGGTGACATGACGCGTCTGAATTGGTGTCCGGATGAATCCGGACATTGGACGTAATAATTTGACGATATTGTATGATAGTCTCAAACTAACTGTATTCTACATAAATATTATGCCAAAAAGATCTGTTATTAATGGCCTTCTGAAAGTCATATGGATATAAATGTTTTGTTTAAAATTCTTATAAAATATTAATCTTTTTTGTGGAAAGAAATTTTTTTTTTTAATGAGCAATAATGATAATTCTTATAAAATATTGATAACATTATTTGCTCTGAAATTAACATGAGAGCTAACAGCATTACTTAAATTAAAGAGATATAGATAGAATCCCGAGGCTGTGAATGTGATAAAAGCAAACTAATTATATTGATCTTCATCTTCTCTATAACAACAAAAAGTACATATATTTAAATTTAGGTTTCGTTTGTGATTATTTTTTCACTGTTTATTAAAGTAATTTTTTGATATAAAAATAAAAATTTTAATAAAAAAATTATTTTAAGTAGTAAGAAAGCTGTTCCAAACAAAGTCTTATACTAAGTATGAATTTTTAAGTTTAATAGAATTATTTTAAAATGAGTGAAATATAAAGTTTAATTTGATATTTATTTATTATATTAATTCAATAATTTTGAACTTATTTTGATCTAATTTTTATTAGAATATTTCAATATGAAATTATTTCTTTCTTTTTTCATTAACCTAATTAAGGTTGTTTTTTTTGTTATAAGTTGGAGAAGAAGGGCAAGTGTAGGGCGAATTATTACGGCCGTGACCGGAATGTCCGGACACCAATCCAGACGCGCCACGTCATCCGGATATATTGGACTTCGGATGTATCTGGGTGACATGGCGTGTCTTGATTGGTGCTGGATGAATCCGGACACCAGACATAATAATTTTCCCAAGTGTAGAGGGCAGGACTCAATAATGACTGATGAAAATTATATTTTCAAGGTCATAAATCAAACCTAAATCTCTTTTAAGAAAAAACTTAGGCACATGCTTTAATCCTTCAATAGAATAATTGATTTTAATTTAATAAATAAATTATTTGATTTTAGTTTTGATAAATCTTTAGAATATTCAAATAATTAGCATCAATGTTGATATAATATTTGAATGAAAATTTTTTATAATTAAATTCAAGAACATCCAAGTTTTAATTTTGATAAATTTATAGCTAAATTGAATGTCTTGATAAGACGAACTCATTGACACCGCAAATGATTGTATCTGAATTCATCCGAACCTAACTAAAGCACTTGAAACATATTTGAAAGTTGAATAAGCTTGAAAACTCTTTTGTATTTTTCAATGAATAATGTCAATAACCACCATTAGCAATTTATGTACCATCCCAAAATCATGCCACCTAAGTATTTTTGTCAAATTACCAACATCCAATATACCTCATGTTTTTTCCTCTTATAAGGTTTTCATAGAAATTTTTTTGATATATTCTAACTTATATCTGTGCATGCTGAATCTTTGCACAAAGCTAATATATCAAATTCACACTCTATTATCATAATTTTTTAGGACGTAACAAATTTAAATAAATATTTATATATAGTTGACTTTTTGGGGGTATTTACATACAAATCACTCAAAATATTAAGATTTACATATTTAACATCTAACCTTCTTAATTTATACGTAGAATATTGAAAGCATTAAATGACAAATAATAATATCACCGCCATCATCATCATCATCACCTCTATTACAATATCATCATCATCAACAACGAGGGAAAAAGGTTGTTAGCGATGAAATTTATGGCAACAATTTGGTTTCAACAGTGAAGAATGAGCGATGTAAGTTACAGGCGAAGGAATCATAGACGAAGCAACAAAATCAGCGCATTGCAGATAACGTTAACCCTCATCATGATAAGATCTCATCATGAATTTCTCATATATTTCAGCTAAGCTCCATCCCGCTAGAAAAAAAAGGGGATGGTGGTCAAAGACCCTTTTAACATGGCGACTTTCTAGAGGATTTCATTACCCCACCGAGTTTAGCTGACTTGGTGGGCGAGCATGATTGAAAATTCTCAACCCATGTTTGATTCTTCTGTCATGCAGCATGATTTCTTAAATGGGGAGAAAATAATTGCGTGGCTTTGCACCTGTGGGGTTGGTTGCTAGTAGGCTCATCGAAAGATTAGTTACACTGTCATACGTCTCCTTTAAAAGTGGCAGCGGCTAGAGACCTCGTTCCAAAAAAAAAACCTTTATTAATAAAGTACTCAATTTTATTTAATTTAAATTAAATTTATGTATTAATTTTATAAATTTAATATTTTGAGTGAATCTACCTTTATATTTTAATTTTCTTGGCAAAATTGGGCGGATGCTTGTGAAGCCTTTGCTTTCTTGACTTCCAAGAAAGATGTCCTGGGCGGTCGGAACAAAATGCAGCCTATATCAAGCAAGAGAGGGAGAGAGACCGAGTAGAACAAACGAGCGAGCACCTATAAACTTTAAAAATGGATCGGGACGGCGGCATAAGGAGGAGGATCACACGGGGAATGATTCCGGTTCTTGCTTTACACGTTGGCACTGAATTCTACCGGCTTCGGCGGAAGCCGCCGGTGACGGCGGGGCTCATCCTCGCCAATACCCTGATTTATCTCCGACCCGGAGCCCTTGACCGGCTTCTCCCCACCATCGACGAGGTCTGGTTTAATCCCCATCTAATTGTCAAGGTACTTCTCTCATCCTATCTGCTTCTTCTCTCAACCCTAATTTTGAAGAATAATAGTTATATATATCTTTAGTTATCAAAGATGGAGAAAGTAAATTTGTTTGGAGATTACTTTGTGGTAGTCATGGCATTATAAAAGAAATTAAGTGGGTTTAATTCTTACAACTGTTAGTGTTTGGGAATTCTTTTATGCATCATTACGCGCTCCAGCGCAGGTAAAAAGACCAATCATAAGCTTTCTGGTCTAAAATTGGCTTATGTTTGATGATATTTTCGTCTATTTGTTTTTTATTGCGTATGATTCTGAGGTGTTAACGAATGATAAGTGGCTTGATCTTGAAAATTTTTAACGATTCAAATTTAATGATGTTAGCCATTCACGAAATTTGTAGCGAATGGAATTGAATGTTCTACTCTCTTTCACTATATTTTACTTTTCTGTCTTTTAAACATTCATCAAAATATTAATTGGGAATTAATTTTAGCTAAACAGGGTGTCATTTTTGTAAGAGCAATAGATTATCGTGTTATTATCAATAGTAATATAGACTATGTCTATATGTCAAGAAATTTGTATACAATCATAATCTTTGAATTTAATGAAAACATTATCTTTGTATTACAAGGGTTTCATTATGATGCGTACATTAAATCCTTCTGAATTCCCACATTAGCCAGAGCTTCGTTAATTATGATTGTATAGTGATTTCTTGCCCTATTCTTTTGTTAAATTCAGAAGATTAGAAAAGCGAAAAGCATTTAAACTTTATTCAATGTAATCCCTATTTATAGACTATACAAGGTGCTTAAATAAAGGAATTCATTAGCAATATTGTGACTCTCCCTGAGTCTGAATTTTTAAAGAATAGTGTATGATCCCCTTGGCTTTGTTTATACCCATTAAGGAGCATAAACTTAGAGAACCTTCCAAACCAGGCCCTTGGTGATTGTTTGAGCCCATATATGGTCTTTTTTAATTTGCATACCTTGTTACCTTTATAATTTTCCTTAAATCCTGGTGGTATTTTCATAAATATTTCTTCTTCCAGATCCCCATGTAGGAATGCGTTTCTTACATCCAATTGTTCCAGATGCCAATTGTACTTAGCTGCTATTGAGAGTAGAATTCTGACAGTGTTCATCTTGGCTACTGGTGCAAAAGTTTCTTGGTAGTCAATGCTATATGTCTGAGTGTAATATTTTGCCACTAGTCTTGCTTTATATCTTTTCAGTTTGCCATCAGCTTTGTATTTTACAGAGAACAATAATTTGCAGCCAACCGGTTTTTTTTCTGTCGGTGGATTGATGATCTCCCATATCTATATTAAGTTTCTCAACTATTCTACTAAAACCTCCATGTCATTTTGAGATTATTGATATTTACCTACTATTTTTGTAATAGTTCATAAATTTTTAATCTAATTTTATTCTAGGAGCATAAACATTATCCATAAAATGCTTCATATATAGTTAAACTAAGCATAGTTAATTATATTATTAACCCTAGTCATCGTATAATTAAACGCATGTTTCTTTCAACTCTCTTTTCAATACTTAATTAGTTCATATCTTTTTTAACCTTCAATGTATTTAACCCTCCCCAATGTATTTAAAGTTTTCCATCTTTTCATAAAGTTTATTGCAGAAGTATTATTTTTATTTATTTTTAATTTTTTGTGTCAGCTACTTTTCTAGCATTTCATTGAAATTTCTTAAATTTTTTTTAATATATTTACAAGTGATGTGAGACTTGGTCAAACTATCAATCACATTTCATCTCAATTATATTAAACTATGACAAATCCTTCATGGACATCTCACCGGCCTTGTCTATTGCTCACTGCAATTAATTAATATTGGGACAAATCACCGATGGGTGACTTCATAGCTGATCTTTGCCCAATTCTCTCTATAACTTGTTTACTTCCAGCACCACTTTGGAGAATGCGCCAACACTAGAAATATTGAAAATTTCATGCATTTTCCAATGGTTTTATGATTGATTGTCAACCTAATATCAAAAAACTCAAAACTCATCCTTTCTCATCTGAGCCTATGATTTACATGGATAGTTTAGTTTTCTTCTTGTATTTTTTTGAATTTCACAGTTCCTTTTGGTAGTTAATTGCATGAAGAAGTAAGAAGCGGGCAGTTATATATTCTGCTACTTTGTAACTAGGATTTTCTTTGTTTGTGATCATAGAAGTATATTGCGTCAATTACATTCAGCTTCTAAAGGTGGGCGACTATCTCTTATAGGTCATCATTATAATTATCATTAACTTTATTCCAGTTATTTGAGGTTGTTTTTATGAACTCTTATTATTTATTCTTTCCTATCTACTTCTTAGAAGCCTTTCATATAGGCCGCCTTTATTAATTGAAATTTTGCCTTGATCTGTCATCACCAATTTTCATATGGTCATTGAAAGGTGACTCCAATTTAAATGTCAACAAGTGATTTGAGAATGTACTAATTCAATAATGGCTTATTGGACAAATATTTATGGAATAGTGATAGAGGGAGGAGCTAGGGGCTTGTTGGTTTGGAGATATGGAAAATTCTAATAATTCATGCCTTATTAGGATGAGTAGCATTTCTTTTGTTTAACTATATAATGTTTTTTCCTTTCTTGTTAGGTAGCTTTCTTAGGATAAGAAGTTTATTTATGCTTACATAAATCACCTGTTATATTCCATGGAGCATTATAGAGCAAGGGCGGAACTATAGTGAGCTTAGGGGGGGCAATTGCCCCCCCTTAAAAAAAATTTTTTTTTTATAGGAGTAAAAAAAAAAAAAAAATTATAAGAGTAAAAAAATTTTTTGCCCCTCAAATTTTTTTTTGCCCCCCCTAAAAAAATTTTTGTCCTAACTTGCCCTAAAATATCTACATATTTCTTCACATTTAGTTCTAATATTCTCTTTCATGCTTTTAATAACAGTTTAATTACACATTTTTTCTTTATTTTTCTTGCTTAATTTTTTTAAAAAACTTTTCGTAATGTATAGATATATAATATTATTTTTTAAATATTTAATTATTTTTGTGTTGTATTTTTGCCCCCCCTCAAAATTAAAGCCGGTTCCGCCCCTGTCATAGAGTTTATGTTTTTCGTGTATAAGAAAGGTTTGGAAAATCTCTAAATAATGGGGCTTTCTTTTTTCTTTTTGTTTTTTTATAATAATGGGGCTTTCTTTTATGTCGATTCTAGGAGGCTTAGGTATGGTTTTGAGACAACCTTACTTGGAGTGATAAAGGAAAACTTGCCCCTTACATTCTCCTCTCCTTTTTTCCCTACGTCATCATCCCCTTTCCCATCCCAAGTCCCAACCCACCTTTTTGGGTCTTGATTAAAATTGGATTTTTGAGGTGGATTTAAAAAGATGGAGGGAGGACGTGGAGTTAGAGAATCCTATTGGAAATGGTGGTTGGTGGATTGATAGTGATGCTAGTGCGTTTGAGTGGATGGGGGAGACCATGGGTAGAGATTTCACTTTGCTCTCTTAAATTCAATAAGGCTTATTTAGCAATTTACCAAAACACTATATGGTGTGGAAGAATGCAGAAAAACTTTATCGCTATAGAGATGTAAATATCTTTTTACTTGCCGTATGTTGTCCAATATCATTCAGTATCATGCTGCCGATTTTTGTAGCAATATTTTCTTTTTGCATCCAGTGCTCTCTATTATATGTTTCCCTCTGAAGAATTTTTTTGTGCATTTCTTCCATGATCACTTCTATTCATTTGACTCATATTGTCCCAAAATTTGTCATATATATGTTAATGGAATTTTAATTATACTTATATTCAAGTCATTAAATATATGTATGCAAGAGCTATTACTTATGCTCAAAGTTCAAACGCAAGGTGGTTTGACCAAGTATTTTCCTATTTCTGTTGGATTACATCATGGATCGGCTTTAAGCCCATATCTTATTGCTTTAGTTATGGATGTTCTTATTAGACATTTGTAAGAGAATGTAATATGGTGTATCCTTTTTGCTGATTATATTCTTCTTGTTGATAAGACTAAAGAGGGAGTTGAAGGTAAACTTAAATTATGGAGGTCAACCTTAGAGTAAAAAAATTTTAATTTGATTAGATCTAAAACTGAATACATGGAGTATAATATTAATAATAATAGATCTAATGGAGGAATTGTGAATTTGGATAATTAAGTCATTAATAGGAGTATACGTTTTAGATATATTGGGTTTATTGTTCAAAGTGATGGGGAGATAGATGGGGATATTATTAGTAGAATTCAACTTGGGTGGTTGAAGTGGAGGAATGCATTGGACATGTTGTGTGATAGAAAAGTACTCCTCAAACTTAAGGGAAGTTTTTGTGAGATAGTGGTGAGATCTGGAATTCTTTATGGTGCAAAATGTTGGAATTAAAAGAGAAGTATAAAATTAAGTGTTACAGAGATCAGGATGCTCGGGCGGATGAGTGGCTTCACTCTTATAGACAGAATGTGAAACCAGCATATACATGAAAATGTTGTTAAAGTAGCTCCAGTGGCAGATAAGATTAGAAAGAGTCTACTTAGATGGTTTGGTTACATAAAACATCGGCATTTTGATGACTAGGCTGAGATAGTAGAAGCATTAGATTTGGCCTATGTTAAGAAAGGTAGAAGTATGCCTAAAAAAACTTGGTTATAAAATATTAGAAATGACCTTCTTTTATTAGATTTAAATGATAATTTGACTCTTAACAGGGCAACAACAATATCAAGCCTTTATCCCACTACGTGGGGTCGGCTACATGAATTTTTTTCCTCCAACATGGTCAAATTCTCATATAAATTTAATAAAAATTGTCATTTATGATATTTTCTAACTAAGTCTTTTTAGGTCTAACTCTACATCTCTTAATATAGGGCAAATTTAATACATCTACTCTCATAACCTGATTATCAGAAGGCCGAGAATTTACGTGACCAAACCATCTAAGGTGGCTATTAATAGGACACAATGGAGAAAAAGGATTCATGTAGCCGACTCCACGTAGTGGGATGCTTGATGTTGTTGTTGTTATACTTCACAGCAGCTTTGCAAGAATAGGTTTCTCCCCAACTATTTACTTTCATACCTACAGCACAGTGCAGAATTTGAAGACTTATTTAATACAGTAAATCATGAACTTCAACTCTTCATTTTTGTTTTTGCAGTACAGGGACCTAAGGCGCTTTTTCTTGTCAGCTTTCTACCACATGGGTGAATCCCATCTAGTTTACAACATGATGTCCCTCTTGTGGAAGGGGATTCAGCTGGAAACGTCAATGGGCAGTGTGGAATTCGCTTCAATGGTAGCAGCATTACTTGGTCTCTCCCAAGGAATCACTCTACTTCTTGCTAAAAGCTTGCTACTCTTCTTCGATTATGAAACTGCATATTATAACCAGTATGCTGTGGGCTTTTCTGGCGTTCTATTCGCCATGAAGGTTGTGCTGAATTCAGAATCAGATGACTTGACCTCTCTGAACGGTCTCCTGGTTCCTGCACGTCACGCCGCTTGGGTAGAATTGATTCTCATCCAGTTATTTGTTCCTGGAGTGTCCTTCCTTGGTCATCTTGGTGGTATTCTTGCTGGGCTTCTCTATCTCAAGCTGCGACGATCTTACAGCGGTCCAGATCCCCTTGCTGCTTTAATCAGGAAGGTCGCTGGTGCTATAACCTGGCCTGTGAAGTTTTTGAAAAGCTTGATTGGGTGGCAAACTCGGCGAATAACAGGACGAGGTACTGTTGGAAGCAGGCGGCCAGTTCAAAGGGTATATGATGTGTGGAGATGCACTGCCTGCACATATGATAATTCTGCTTTGGCCGATGTATGCGAGATGTGCAGCACTGAGAGGTCGGGTCATGGGTTCGCTTCACCGGCGCCATCCAATAATAATGGCGCGCTCAGCTTGGAAGAGGTAAGGCGGCGGCGGCTTGAAAGATTCAGTAGATGACATTACAAAATTTCTAATATTGCAAGACGATGTCCTCTGGTTCTGCAGTTTTACTTTGTTTTGTTTGAATAGTAACAAAGCCACACAGAAATTTGGGCCTTTTAGGTATGGCAATTCTGTCCCAGGCTGTAGTCATAGTTTACTGAGGTTCAGCTTATGGGTAATGTTTTGTTTTACTTCGAAGTAAATAATCTACTTTCCCCTGCCATATGAACTGTTGGCGGATTATTGCCTTACTGTCTTAAATATTTGAAGTAGTTCCTACTCGTTAAATTTGTTAATTCACTATGCAGCAAAATGGCTTCATTGTTGATCAAAATTGCACCACATCGCTGTTTGTGTTGAAAATTTGAATTTGTATCTCCTTATATCAAATTCTAAGCTCTGTTTGATTGATGCAATACAATTGCTACTTCCAGTTGCGCCCTCCATTGTCCATTCCATATGAGTTATAGGTTGTTATCCACTATGTATGTATGTTCATAGCACTTTTTATAACATATGAAAAATTAGGCTCAATGGCAATTTAACATATGTTTCTGAGGTGCCATGAAAATTTTGGAGGATTTGGAATGCATGGATTATGAATTAGAGTCAAAAGAAGTTTTGGGTATTGAGGACGTTATGAATTCAATGGCGAAGTCCGTTTTGCGATCGGACGTTGTTTGGGCGTTGTTGCCGGCAATTTCCTCGATTTGTGCATTGTCATCTCGGGATTTGTGTTGTCACCTCGGACGCCCCCAATTGAATAGGTTGACAGTGATTTTGGGTGCCAACAATGTTTCGAAAGCAACAATGAAATTTGTCTCGCGATCGGATGTCATTTGGGCGACGTCGTGCGTCCTTTGGACCAATCTTGTCCGATTTGACTGTAAGGGGTTACTGCTTATGCGAACTTGATGTCCAGATTGCAACGGCGCGGTTCTTTTGGCAATCGGAGGTTTTTTTACCCTTCAAGTAACATGTTGCATCAACACACCCGTTGCTTGATTTGCTGGTTTTGCCTTTTTTGGACGTGGTTTGATGCGTAGGGATCAACAATGATTAGAATTCTGGTGAGGCCAATGATAAAATATCCAATTTGTCCCAATGAAAACTTGAGCCCTTAGTCCAAACCCATTCTTTGCTGCTGCCCAGATCGTTCAATCCAGATTCCTACTATCGTTCTCTGTAATCACCTGGTTTCATTTTCGATTGGGCTATTTTTGTTGAATCTGTAGCTGCTGCCACTCATTTTTATTGCTGCTTCAGCACTTAAAAAGTTTGGTTTGTATGAAAATTGACACTCTATCGTGTTAGCCATTTCAGCTGTTATTTTTTATGGATGATCATTTGGCATGCTTATAGCTGAATATCTCTTTATATATATATATATATATATGAAGAGAAATTTTAGAATTTAGGGTATAGTTTGGAAAAAAAGCGATCATTTTGGATCAATTTTGTAGTTGAAAGATTAAAGTTTCGTTTGGAAAAAAGCAGTAAGAAAGTTATCCCAAATGAAATCTAATTGGAGCAGCGTTATACTCTGGGTGGGTTAAAATGGTCATATATGAATGGTCGGGATATTATTTTGAAATTTAACTATATATAAGTTTCTGTTTTTTTATATTTGTAATAGTAAATATTTAATTTGTGCCCCCCTAAATAATAATAATATTAATTTATATATCACTGTTTAAAAAATATTAAACTAAATATTTGAGTTTTTAGGTGACAGATATAATTTAATTTCAACTATGAAAGGATTAGTTTTTTCTTGAAATTTTTATTTTATGAAATGAATTTTACTTTCTAATGAGACAAAAAAGCTATCAATATGAAGAATAGTATCATCATTAGACCAGTAATTATAATTTATGTCATAATAACCTTTGGTTTTTAGGTGTTTGAGTAATAGAGGGGGCATTTATTTATATTTAATTGTGATTTCATTTTCAGTTTTAAAATAAAATTCAGATTCATATAAAGAAATCTAGCAGAATAAGCTTTAAATTACGATATTAGTCTCTTAAATTTATTAAAAATTAAACTAAATATTATTTGTGTTTAACAAAATTTAAAGATATTTAACCAAGAAATTTAAAATTAAAATACAATTTTATTTTCTAATTTTGCATAAAATATTTTTTCCTTTATTTGTTTACAAAACATAAGTTATATATTAAGGTGCTCTTTAGTTTGAAGTAAAAAAATCATAAAGTAAAATTTTGTAGTATTTTATTTTTGGCTGAACCATTAGATTTGACTGTTTTTAAATACACTGTAAATTCTCTATAATTGTCGCCATCACTATCTCGAGCCTCTGACTATCACTTGCAGGCTGCGGCTGTCTACAGCCACCGCTAGTCACCTACAACTTGCAGTCGGCCAATGTCATTGCCACCATTGTCGTCCACCACCACCGTTAGACTTTATACTATATTTATTTTACTTCAAATCAAATAAAAAAATAATCACCCGCATTTATTTACCAGACCCGAGCTTAGCCCATCCTAATATAATTTTGTATCAAAATTATCTGATTTTTTTTTTAGTCTTTGAATCGGTGGCCTGTGATCCACCACATATGTACAGGCTGGGTTAATTGCAATTTGACGTTAATGCTGTTTTGGAAGCCAAAAGTCTAAGAGAATATATATTTAATTATTTTTTCTTGATAAGTTTAATAAATATAAATGTTAACTATATTTATTAAACTTATCAAGAAATGTTATTATATCAATTTAATCACATTTTAATTATAAAGTCAAGCAATGTGAGATCCATAACGTGGGTTAGTTAGAAGCATAATAATCACTCTTCCATAATCCATGTGAGCTTAATCCTTAAGTTTACGCCAAGTAAAACCACAAAGTCTTTCTTGTCATGTTTAAATTCTTTTATTATTATTAATTTTCTTATGTTATTATTTTATCATTATTAGCAGTAAATATTTTATTATTATATTAATTATTTTGTTGATCCAATCTTGATTTTTAAGCAAGCTTTCTTAGGCAATTATATAATATAGATTTTTTTTTTTTATAAAATATTTGTTGTTCACTGCCATGGAAAGTGAATTGATTGTCTTCATGTTGATGAAAAACTTTGCACATATATGGATAAATAATAATTAGCAATGGATATTCTTCATTACCAATAAGGTCGATGCTCTGCCGGCAACAATGGCTATCATCGCTAACATCTTTGATGCCCCATTGACACAAATATTAAAGCTCATTGTCGCCAGCAAAGTAGACACCAACGTTGGCGTCTGACATTGATAAAAATGGTGATGTATGTCTTCCCCAACCAGGCCAATGTGCCCTCTGTCTACACCAAATCCAACACTCATTGCCATCGCCAACAAAGTTAGTGTCTACCCTTGATAAAAATAGCGATGTCCGTCAATAACAATAACGATGTTTGACATAACAGATAATGTTGGTTTGCATCATCTTCTAAACACCAACAAGGTTAAAGATTGTCGTAAATGTCAACAATGCCAACGCACAATGATGCCCACTACACCAACGATGCGAACAAATCACATCACCAACAACGTCGACATCCATCATTGACACTAATGTCAACGTCCTCGTCCCAACCATCGCAAACACTCATCATCTCAACTAAAGTTGATGCTCATCTTTTAAGTCATTGTCTCATCTCGTATAAAGAAAATGATCGAGAATATCACCATTGATCTTAAAATAATTCATCTTCCACAGTTCATGTCTATTAGTATCAATCAGTGGCAGAGCCAGGAAAATTTATCAAGGGGGGGCCTAAATTAATTTAGTAAAATTTTCCCTCAACTTTTTTCATCCGGGCTTGGGACCGGCATAGACAGTTTTAAAAAATTTTTATTAATAATTATCTCAAAACATATAATATTAAATGCAATATAGTAAACAACTTACAATTTATAACGTCTACTCTTCATATTCTAAAAGAGTTGAATGATAACTTCATTATCAATAGAATCCAAAATTTCTTTTTCAACATAAGCAAGTAATAAATCATTCATCCATTGATCGCCAATCCTATTTCGCAGTCGATTTTTTATAATATTCATGACAGAAAATGCTCTTTCAACGCCGGCTGTAGCAACAGGTAATACCAATGCCAATTCCAGTAGTTTAAAAACAACAGGATATATTATATCCTTCCTACTTTGGATCATTTGAAGTCAGTCCACTTGATACTATCAATTAATTCTCTCATTTCCATTTAAAGAGAAACATAATACTAAGTTAAGTGTTGCAGAGATGAGGATGATTAGGTGGATAAGTGGTTTTACCCTTAGAGATCGGATATGAAATGAGCATATACGTGAAAAGGTTGGAGTAACTCCAGTGGAAGATAAGATTAGAGAGAGTCGCCTTAGATGGTTTGACCACATTAAACGGAGGCCTTTCGATGACCCGGTTAGGAAATTAAGTTGAGGAATTATATTTGACTTAAGTTAAGAAATGTAGAGATAGATCTAAAAAGACTTGATTAGAAAATATTAGAAATGATCTTTCTTTATTAGATTTAAATGAGAATTTGACTTTTAACAAGACACAATGGCAAAAAATGATTAATGTAGTCGACCCCACGTAGTGGACAAAGGCTTGATGTTGTTGTCTCATTAAGATCTCATATAAAAAATGATTAAAAAAATAATAATAACTTTTAATATACCTTTCATGCAAATAAAATCATTATACTTAAAATTTATTAAAAGTGTTAAGTAAAATATTAAATTGTTTTAGCTTTAAATGATCAAATGAGCTCCAAGTGAAACAGATTCTCTGGCCTTCAAAAATAACACATAAAAGAAGTGTTATTGCAGAAATCTGAAAGTTGGAAAGCCTACTGACCAAGCTATGCTTAGTTAATTCTGAATCGGCATCTGAAGGAAGAATGCATCTTGAAAGAATAATTAACTGCTTAAAAAGTCAACAATTCATTAAACAATCATTTACTTATCTTAGTTTGCAGTCAACCAGCAAATTCTAATAAGAGAGTATTAGTATGACAGTCATATATTTGAATTAAAAAAAATTTTGAAGCGATTTTCAATGTGATCAGAAATAATGTTAGCTACAGAAGCCTAATAAAGAATTCCTTGTTAAAATTTCTGTAAGAAAGGCATTAAGATTTGTTATGTTCATAAAAATTTATCATTAACTGAAACTTAGAATAAAAAAATTGATTTATTCTAATATAAAATGAATAATGATGAGGCTTTCCTGATAGAGATCTCTTTCAGAGATTCCTTATGGGATTTCAGTTCAAATCTTAACCTCTTATTTATAGGCAAATGGAAGAAGCATTTAGTAAGCTCAAATTCTTTATAGAATTTGACAGAGTTGGGAGGATGGAGAAGGCTACTTGTAACCATGGAGGAGCTCTTCTGCTTCTACTTATATTTCTCTACTCTGCAAGCACAGCTTTTGCTGAGGGCTGGATGCCAGCCACTGCAACTTTCTATGGTGGAAGTGATGCCTCTGGCACTATGGGTAAGTATGATAAACTAATTATTGATGTTTAGTTGATAAAAAATTTTGAAATTTCTTATGAAGATCTTATGGTCTACATTAAATTTGTGCTTGCTTTTCTTAAAAGAACATTTGGATCTTTTATATTTTGCCACTTTCTTCATAGTTGTCGCTAAATGCTTTCACATCTATCCTTCCTAACAATGAAGAAGTCTTCCATTGCATCAAAAAGAGAAAATTTTATGTCATGCACTCAAACTAACGGTGGATCCACTAAAAATATTATTATATGATTCTTTAGGTAATTTGTCTCCCTCTATCTATTTTTTAGTTTTTATTACAAGGATTTTTAGGCAATTGTCCCCCTAAAAGTTTTAAAATACTATGGTCTTTAGGCAATTGCCTCAACACAATTAAACACTTTATGTAGAGATGTTATTGCTAGGGAACCAAAATTATCCTTATAATCAAAATTTGTAAAGAAAGTTGAAAAATATCCTTACAACCCTAAAAATCCAAAGAGGGCACTGCCCCCTTGAACCCCTGACATATATGTAAAGTATACAACGATCAAGAATATGAACAAATAAGGATCAAGGAGCAGCGCCCCCGGAATAAATTTTGGTTGTAAAAATATTTATGAAAAAAAAAATCTATATACTTTTACTTAAAAATTCCCCCCCCCCCCTAAAAATTAAGGCTGGTTCCGCCCCTGAATTTATTTAGTATCAAACACAATCAGTAGGCACTGAAATCAGGTTGCTAATTAATGTAATTTTCTGACTTTGGCATAGAAGACTTAACAAAGAAAAAAAAAACGAAGATCCAAAAACAAAATATTCAAGATTTTTATATGAAATGAACATATACAAAGCTGTAATGAGCATTGATCTGTTCTGTAAATGTAGGAGGAGCTTGTGGCTATGGAGACCTATACCAAGATGGATATGGAATTAAGAACTCTGCACTCAGCACTGCCCTCTTCAACGATGGAGGCTCTTGTGGAGAATGCTTTCAGATTGTCTGTGACACCACAAAGGCAGCAAAGTGGTGTAAGAGAGGCACTTATATCACTATAACAGCCACCAATTTTTGCCCACCAAATGACAATCTACCCAGCGACAATGGCGGATGGTGCAACCCACCAAGGCAACACTTTGATATGTCTCAGCCTGCTTGGGAGACTATTGCCATCTATAGAGCTGGGATTGTCCCTGTATTCTACAGAAGGTAATTATTGGACACTGAGGCTTTATTTGGGATGATTTTCTTACTGCTTTTTAAAGTAGCTTTTTAGCACAAAGACTTTAGTTTTTGTACTAAAAAACTGTTTTAAGAAGCAGCAAGAAAACTATCCCAAACGAAACCTACATTTAGTATAATTAGTCTATTTGTGCTTGATTTTTTTGTTGGATTGATAAGTAGTTAGAATTCAGCTTATTTTTACAAGCTTGATTACTTTAAGTCAAATATGAACATGGCATTGTTCCAAGCAATTCAAGCTTGATCATGCCTCCTAAAGAAAGAAAAAATAGAAAGTTTGAAGAAGGGAGCATTCATTATGCCCTCCATGCACTCCAATTGGGATATTTCTAGGAAAACATGAAGTACTTACTCTAATTATACTAAATTTAATCATAATTAATTACAAGTTCATTATAATTAGGTTCTAATTGGCTGAGCTCTAGCTCAAGCAAAATGCTACTCTCTAATTTCATAATAAAGGTCATAATAGATTCGAGTCTACGTAGCAAACTTCTTTTAAGATCATTAGGTGACTTACTAGAGTGGCTTGAAAGCCACAAAAATAGGCTGCAAAGCGCACATTAAGCATTTCTTCACGAGAAAAAAAGGCATTGCAACTGTGTTTGGGATGGCTTTCGTATTGCCTCATAAAGCAGGTTTTAAGTGTAAAAATTAAATTTTTTTAACTAGAAAGCTACTTTAAGAAGCAGTAAGAAAACCATCACAAACGAAGCCTAAACAAAGTTATTCTTCAACTGAACTTTCGTGATTGCAGGGTTCGGTGCAAAAGGAGTGGAGGGGTGAGATTCACCATTAATGGAAGGGACTACTTTGATCTTGTTCTGGTAAGCAACGTAGGAGGGAGTGGCATAGTGACTGCCATGTGGATCAAAGGCTCCAACACAGATTGGATGATAATGAGCCGAAACTGGGGAATGAATTGGCAAAGCAATTCCTACCTCAATGGACAGAGCCTCTCCTTCAGAGTTCAAACTGATGATGGCAGAACCAAAACTTTCAATAATGTAGCTCCTTCCAACTGGAAATTTGGTGACACATTTGCCACTTCAATCCAGTTTTAAGATTCTGCTCTAATGTTTTTAACTTTTTTCTTTCTAGTTCAGCCATAATATTGTTCATGTAACATATATGGGATTTATTATTCCTTTAAGGGGTTTGATTGTTACTTGTGCTGAGGCTAAAGCATTAGTATTAGCCCATCCAGTGACATGAAAAAGTGTATGAGAAATTTATATTAGATTTGAAGCAATATTATGGTTAAACTGAAGGCACGAGGGGTGTAAACGAGTCAAGCTAAGTTCGAGTCACTCATAGTTTGAGCTTGATTAATTAATAGAGTTCAAGCTCGAGATGAATCTTAATTCTATGCAGGGGCGGAATCACATGTTGTTTAGGAGGGGCAATTACCCCCCTAAAAAAAATAAATAAATTATAGGAGTTAAAAAAATTTTATAGGAGAGTAAAAAAAATTTTTTTGCCCCTCCTAAAAAAATTTTTTTGCCCCCCCTAAAAGCCTCTTTTGTCCTAACTTTCCTTAAAATATCTATATATGTCTTTACATTTAGTTCTAATATTCTATTTCATGCTTTTCATGATAGTTTAATTATACTTTTTTTTCCAGCTTAATTTTTTTAAAAAACTTTTCGCAATATATAGATATATAATATTTTTTTTAATATTTAATTATTTTTGTGTTGTATTTGCCCCCCTCAAAATTGAAACTGATTCTGCCCCTGATTCTATGAGTTCAAGTTGACTGAGATTTTCAAAAATAATATAAATAAATAAAAGAAAATAACAAATTTATTTATTATTAAATAAAATAACATGAACGTAAATTGGAAATAATATGACAGACAGAGACTTTGACTGGCAAATTCAGTCTTATTGGATGAAGTCTAAGCCAAATTAGACCTAAAAGTCCTGGCTAGGTATTTGGCCCATCATGTTATGAGCTCATCAAGCTCTAGATAAGTGACCTTAGGCTATGATGTAATCAAATCGAGTCGACTAATGACATAGATTTGGCTCGACTTGATAAATGACTCGTGAGCCAACTCAGCTCATCGGCTGTTGAGCTTACTTGTTGAAACAATGTCTATATAAAATTGAATTAACATATATTAGATTTAAGCATAAATATTTTAAATATTATTTAAAATTTCTCTCTTTTTCATATCTCAATATATTTCTTATTATTATTGTCTTTTTTTTGCAAGAATTATTCAAATTGAAATCATCTAATTTCTTTCGTGCTGATTGACCTGACTTAAACTCATAGAATTAAACTCGAATCAATTGATTTACGCATCTATTGTATGCCCATTGGATGCTCAGATAGAATAATAAGAAATTATGATCCATCAGAGACTCCTTTGTCATTTCTTCCTTCTCATGAGACAAATTATAGAAAAGATATTGTGCATTAATGAATCATTTGTGGTCTAAAAGATAAAGACAAGCAAAAAAGAAAGTTTATGATGACTCTAAAAAGTCTTATAAATTTATTCCAAAGTTTGGTGAACTAATAATTGACTCCTTACTAGAAATTATATGGTAATTTCATGAAATATTATTAGTCCTCCATAAGGGATCTAATGCTCTTAAAAGTTAATGTTTGTAATATAATATTGACAATAATGCATCATAGGTAGAAGATTTACAATAATTTTGTAATTTCTTTTTACAAGATTATTGCATCACAAGAAAAAGATAATATAGAAGTCCTTATAAATGTAAAGTATGTTGTAAAATAATCTCTTTTTTTTTTAATATAGGGAAGAAATAGTAAAGAAGAAAAGAAGTTCAATAATAATGAAGGGAAAAAATGGTAAAGTAAGAAGAAGGTTTAAGATAAAAGATATGAAAGAGCCAGTAGGGATTTAGGTTGTTAATATGTATCAAAAGTTAAGATTAACCTATTGGTAGAAATAAAGAGAAAAAAGAATTATTGTAGTTCTTATCTTTTGTAATCATCGTGAAACTAATGTTGATGTCCAACAACATCAACAAAGTTGTCGTCCTTTGAGATCGTCAATAAGATTGATGAATGTTGTCAACACCATCGTAAAAGTCATCACTCGTCATTGTTTGTTATCACCAATAATATTAATGACAACTCTTGTTGTCATTATTATGATTGACAATTATCACTGACATAAACATTGATGTACACTGTTTGTGTCAGTCGATGTTATTGATCAATGATTTCCTCTTTTATAAGAGGAATAAAAAAAACTGCCAATGATCACTTGATCATAATTTTAATAATACCTCAAAGTTGTGAGAAATTTTTCTGTACAGGAGACGAACGTCGTCCAGAGACCAGCCAGAACGTGCTACATCATCTCTTACTCAGTATATGGCTTGTTACGCAGCTCGGTACTACTGATGTGGCGCGTTCTGATTTATTTTCGGACGATAAACTACATGTAGTGTTCACACATAATAACTTTTCTAGAGTCATAAGTCATATTCTATAATTTATATATGTTACATTGAATCAATCTATTATAGATAAGTGCATCATTTATAATATATGATTGATATTAATAAATCATTTGAAATACATAAGATTTTTTTTTTCTCTAATTTTTGTAAGATTTTTATATAGCGAAATTTTTTTTTTCTGATATCACGAATATTTCACTATTCAAAAATATATAAAAAAAAAATTTATGTTGACTCCAAAATTTTAATGATTTATCGTAAAAGTAATGTGAGCATTCACATCACAATTTTTATTATTTTATTCATCATATTCAAAACACGTGTTATTTGATTGATTTATTTTTTTAATTACAATGGTGTAAGAACTACTAAGATTCATACTTTTGACTTTGCAAGTTTTAATCAATAAATTAAAAATAGTTTCAGATTAATCTTTAAAAGTTAAAACCATAGAATATTTTATTTTATCCCAATCCTATCCTAATCAGATTTTGTACGCAAAGGTATTTATCATCACCTTCGTCTCCCCTTCGTCGTGCCCTAATGGAACCGCCATTGCAGTTTTTGGTTGGGAGTTTGCGGCATCTCTATCCGTTTTGCTAGTTTTAGACGAAGGAAATAACTGCTTTCACAAGTGGTCAAGGTTGGAAATATTAGGTTTTTACGCGCAAGTTGGGGATTCAGTTTTGATTTGGTTTTCTCCTCTTCTAAAAGCGGCCGATTTGAAGTTTCTTTTCGTCAAACCCTTAAAAGCGATATTCTTATATTGACGCTTTGGTTTCTGTTCTGTGATTCCGAAACGGAGGGTATCGAGCATTCGGTATTTTATTTAGGATTCTGAAGATCTCCGAGAATATTTGTTTGTCGGAGGTTTTTAATTTGATTTGATGGGAGGAAGAGGGTCTAAAGAGGAGGTGAGGCGGAGTTTTAGATCGGCTGATTCTTTCCGTAGTCGCGGCTACGCTGAGGAGCAATATTCGACGCCGAGGTACGGAGGCGACGTGCCTGCGTATCAGAATTATCCTACTTCGACTTCAAGCTATGATCCTCCTCATGCAACAGGGTATTCTCAGCCATATTCCGTTCCTCAGCCTCCTGCCACCCGGCAAACTCGGAAGTTGGATCGGAGGTATTCACAGATAAGTGACAACTACAATTCATTGGAACAGGTATGCCATATTCTGTTCTTGTTAGGTCTTTTTCTTCATTTTTCTTGTTGTTTTTTGCATTTTTGGTGAAAATGAGGGAACTTTCGAACAAGATGCTTGTTTGAGTTGTCACATGCCACCTGTGTATTCTTTTTCTTTTTTGTGGGGGATTGAAAGCCTTCGCTCTGCATATATTGATGAAGAAAGTACAAAATTCAATATCAAAGGAGTTTGAACATAAGAAGAACCTGTGAAGGTGATAAAATTATCTAAACAAGGTCTGTGAGAACATCAAGAGCGAGGCGAACTTTATCAATAAGTGGTTGAAAGTTAGCTAAACAAGGTCTGTGAGAAGACGCCGTAAGCCCAAGGTAACTGAATTAAGGTACGGATATGGAGAAGCTAAGAATGTCTCTTAGAGCGTGGGGTTATTGAGTGCTCTTGGAAAAGCATATGAGACTTTTTGTAGGATTAGTCTTGAGGTTGGAGGCAGGGTTGCAGGGTAAAAACTATCCAGAATATCCTTGAGGCGGAGAATGTTATTTTGAGAAGCTTCCCGCAAAATTATGGCATCATCAACATAAGGAAGGTTGGATAAATGAATACTGAATTTGAGAGAGATGGAAGAGAAAGCCCCTTGGTGAATGCTTTGCTCTAAAAGATTAAATAGGTCATCCATGAAAGTGCAGAAAATATAAAGAAACATCGGACAACTCTCTTTGAGACTGCTAGTACAGGGGAAAAAACCTTTGATTGTCCCATTAATGCTTGAATGAGAGATATTAGTGATGCAGGCCTCAATCCTAGACACAAAGATGGGAGGGAAGCTATTCATATGCATCATCTCAAGAAAGAAATCCCGGTTAACTGAATCAAAAGCTTTCTTGATGTCAAGCTTTGCATAAAAAAAAGATTAGAAGATGAGATGGATTTGAAGCCATTAAGAATCTTGTTAGCTATAATGACATTATAAGAGGCGACCCTATTGGAAATAAATGTAGCTTGCACTTGTTGCATGATGTGTGACAACATTTTTTTTAAGTCGATATGCAAGTAATTTGACGACGATTTTGTAAATAGTATTACATGAGGAGATTGGCATGTAATCAAAGAGAAGCCCATCATGAGAGAACATGGGAATAAGAGCAATAGTTGTGGCTTTGATCATATTTTGGGACTTTTCGCAAAGAAAAAAAATGCTTCATGGTAAGTACAAACCTCTTCACTACCTAGATTCCAGGAATTAGAAAATAAAAACTTCGTCACCTTACTCTTTACACATAGATTATTGGAAAGCATAAACCATCAGCAAACTTACTTTGGCAATGGCTGGGAATGTATACTTAAGCACTTCAGGAATTTGTAAATCTTAAAGCAAATTCTAGATAGGAATCAAAAGTTTGGCAATAGGGAAATGCGTGAGTAGACTTTTGGAGTAGTTTCTTATTTCTAATAGCTATCATTCTTTCCCTCTTGACTGACCCTCCCATTTCTGAGCCAATTTACATATTTTGGCCTGATACTGTTGAATTTATGTCTCAGCATAGAATTCATCTTTTGGCTACTAAACTAGTTTTGGATTACAGATATATATATATATATATATTTTAAAGAAGATAATCACCACAAACGCAAAATTCACGGTTGTCAGCTATCAATAATATTGATGCTGTGCAAAGAAAAAAATTTTTACACCATTCTGAGAGTAGCAATGGATTCAGTTTTCTACACAGCATAGCTGAAAACACAGCAGAACCAAAAAAATGCTTGCCTAAACAATTTTAAAAGCAGTCAATCAGCTGAGGACATTGATAATTTTGGATTACAGATATGTTATAGCATAGAGCTGCAAATAAAAACGGTCATTTAAAAGATGAACTCTTATGCTTTGAGATGCTTCAAGTTCATTTAGAAGATGGACTTTGATGTTCTGAGAAGCTTCACTATTTCAGCGACAAGAAAATATCTTACTAGTATGTTATTTTGCCTGGTGATACCTAGGACTAATTTGATGTTAAGAAGCCGCTGTTCCGAACATAGTTCTCAAGAAGTGTTTTTCTAGGGCTGTCCTCTAAAATTATTTGGTTGTTTTTGAGGTTTAGTTAAGGTTGCTTCTTTTTTAAACTTCTTTACATATTTTGTCTATGATGGTTATGTTGCGTGTTTACATTTGCTCAAAGCATTTTTATAACCTCTCTTTCTAATATTTTTTTTTACATGTTGGATATATTTCAGAGGGAGAGGTGTGAAATTATGTACAATTCTCTTTAAATATTTTCATCATCTCAAACAGAAAAACTTAAAAAATTATTTGTGTTAATTTTCTCAAGTAATGCATGATTGGTGTTTTTGGCCTTTATAAAACATGCATTCTAGTTTATGATGTGTTTTAGATGTATGCCCTATTTATTTTTGGCAATAATTGGAGAAAAATAGTTGAGTATTTTATTTCAATGAGGATGCTCAAGTGGATGATTGGCTTTACTCTTAAAGACAGGATGCAAAATGAGCATATACGTGAAAAGGTTATAGTAGCTCCAGTGGAAGATAAGATTAGAGAGAGTCGCCTTAGATGATTTGGTTACATAAAATGGCGTCCTTTCGATAAGTTAGTTAGGAAGTAGATGTATTAGATTTGACTTATGTTAAGAAAGGTAGAGCTAGACCTAAAAAGACTTAGTAGAAAATATTAGAACTGGCCTTTCTTTATTAGATTTAGATGAGAATTTGACTCTTAATAGGACACGATGGAGAAAAAGGATTCATGTAATTGACCCCACGGTGGGATAAAGACCTGTTTTTGTTGTTCTATTTGTGTGATATTTATACAATCCTAGGAGAGCTTATAATAGAAAATAAATAAAGTTAAAGAATAATAATTACAAAATAATTACAATAGTCCATGGATTGATTAGTTGATAGAATAATAATTATAGAATAATTACAATAATCCATGGATTAATAAGTATGCAATATGGATTCCACTTAATCTCGCGTCTTTTCGCTAAGTTGGCGTGGCTCTTCATCTTCGGCAACTTTTCCGCTGCGGCTCTTCAAAATTTGAGCACTAAGGTGCTCGAATTGGGAATCCGGCTTTGAGGTGTTGAATTTGAGAGAGGGTGACCTATATTTACCTTCCAATATGTCACTTCTTTATGGTTAGGCTGCTTTATTGTGAATTGGAGGTGACAATTTCCAATCATGAAAACAACATCCCAATTTGTATCCTAAACTCCACACTGGCAAGGGCTTAATGCACATTGGATTTGCCTTTTACATTCATATAATTATACAATTCAATTACTCGTCAACTTAAATTAGACCCCACATCTTTTCTGGTGAATAAACTTTTTGATATTTTGATCCAATTTCAATGACTTAACAGTAATTAACTTGTATGACAAGATACAAGGTACTTTTTAATGTCTAAATTTTAAAATTTTTTTATTAAATCAACTTTCGTTATTGATAAACATTTTTTCCCACTTGAGGCAATAAGTTGATTGATTAGTTAACTATATGATCTTAGAATAACTTATGAAAATTTTGTTGAACAGGTTACTGAAGCTCTTGCTCGTGCAGGTCTTGAGTCTTCAAATCTTATTGTTGGTATTGATTTCACAAAGAGCAACGAGTGGACAGGTATGTGCTCTATAATTTTGAACTTTAGGATTTTTCTCTTCTTTGCTTATATGGGCATTTAACATCTTTTGTATACAGGTAAATTTTCTTTCCACAATCGCAGCTTGCATCACATTAGTGATATTCCAAATCCCTATGAACATGCAATTTCTATCATCGGACAAACATTATCAGCTTTTGATGAGGACAACTTGATTCCATGCTATGGATTTGGCGATGGTAAATAGAGTTGTATTATTTAAACAAACTCCTTTTACTTGTTCAATTCTGACATAGCGCATATTGTTCTTTGTTAGCTTCAACACACGATCAGGATGTTTTCAGTTTCTTTCCGGATGAGAGGCCATGCACTGGGTTTTCAGAGGCTTTGTCACGATACAAAGAAATTGTTCCGCATTTGCGATTGGCGGGTATTTACTTGATCATTGTCTACTTTTATGCAGATTGTTTAATTTATTAATTCTGATAACCGGCGGATTTTACTTAAGATGTTTATGTTTACAGGTCCGACATCTTTTGCACCAATCATCGAAAAGGCCATGACTATTGTTGAACAAAGTGGTGGGCAGTACCATGTTTTATTGATCATTGCTGATGGGCAGGTATTGTCATAATTGATACATATAATTACTAGAGTTATAATTTTCTAAATCTGTTTATGTATAACATTTAAATGGTTGATATGATCAAGCAATACCTGAACGTTAGCAAAAATTGATTGTGGCTTTTCCATCCTTATTTGAAGTGATTGTGAGTTGTGACTGGTCTCTGGAGTATATTTTTGTGTATTTCTTAGATTTGGAAATTGTCGTTTTCTTATGTAAGTAGATCTAGTTATGTATGGATGTATAGAGATTGACTGAGTTGAATCCATATTGGCACACTCAGTAATTATAAAAGCTAAAGAAACTAATGAGTTCTTTGATTCATGATTTTTTCGAGATAAGTGCTAGTTAGATATTACTGCTGTCGCTGAAATATTATGTGTTTGGTTCAGTGTGATTATATAAGAAGATATGATTAGTAGATTATAATTGTTTGATTTAGTGTTATCTTTAGAATCCAATATATTCAGGATATGTTTATCAAAAAATCTTATTCCACCCCCTGAATTGAAAAGGAAACAGTGTCATTAGCAGTACTAAATAAAGTAAATTATTTGGATATCAAAATAAATAGTTGAAAATTTTGTTTCCAAAGTCCAACACTATTTTCAACGGATTCAAAAGGAAGGTCGCTTATAGTAGAAAAAGACAATGCATCAATTGATGCAGGAATAGCACTTGCATCAACCTGCTGAAAAAGTTTTCTCATGGGCTTTAAGGAAGAGTTGTGAGTGAGAGAATGCATGGACAGGTGAAGAAACAAAATTGTAGGAATTGGGCAACTTTCAAATGTCATTGACATCTAGACGTTACCCAATTCAGTTGACATTTTGATATGATTGAATTAGGATATTAGGTTATTTTTAAATTTGGCATCTTCTAATAACATAACATCTCATTTCAGATATTAATGAACGAATGACCTTTGAATTGATAACAATTCTTTGTGGTGTTGATATCCTAAGATATTCACTATATAACTGATCGAAACTACAATTGTTGGTAGTGGTAACATCATAATAAGCCAAAATTAATGCATTGGAATTTTTTTTAACCTGACCACATTTAATTGCAAGGCAATTGTAGTTGTGTTAAAAAGCGGCTTATTGGTTTCCTATAGAACCTCTTCTTGCTTTCCAAATGTCAGGCCTTCAAAATCAAATGTAATGGAACGAGGCCACTGGTAGACTAATACGACAGGGCTGGACAAGACAAGAAAGGAGATTAAAGGGGTGGGGCTCAGCAAGAAATTAATATATTATATTAGGAGGAAATCAATTAGGAAAATCTTTCCTCATTCCTAATTGAATTATTTTCAAATTGAGGGAGATATATTAGGTATGGGACTGAATTAGGAGATCCTTTCCTAATTGAATTATATTCAAATTAATAAGGGAGATATATTATGAAGGGAGCTGATTTAGGAGGAAGGGAGGAAGCCTATTTAAGTCCATAGTAGGTTTATTTTATTCTTATGCAGAATTTTATCTTGAGTGATGTAGTTTTCTTTTGTGAGGGATCCTAGCAGCGTCTAGGGTTTGGGAGAGAAGATCCTCCTCTCGAAAGAGGATCAATTGTATCTTGTTTCTTGTTATTTGATTTCCTAACAATAAAATTCTGTTATTTTACTGAAGTGTACTTTTTTTCGTTGATTTTTGTGGTTTAAGATGTATCATAGACTGCAACCTTTTCAATCTGGATCAAACAGTAATCACTTATATCCATGAGATTGAGTGTAGCATTTGAAAATATTAATATTGATTGTGTTTGAAGAGAAAGTTTTAAACCTTATTATGGTGGTTAGGTGGTATGCACAAGTGTGCATAACTTTTCTAGATGATAAGGCAGTAAAAAATGATTGACTTAGATTAAGCATGTACAATGGACGGAAGAGGTAGCATATGTAAACGATGTGTGTGGTACATTTGCAATTGGGCAGTAAGGTGCCAGTAGACCAAAGCTTATTTAGAGGAACTTCAAAAATACAAATATGACGGAATTAAGACCAATATTGTCCGTAGGGAGGAGAACTAGGCAAAGAAGATTCGTGAAGTTTAGTCTCTATAGATGATAGGGGACAAAAATGTGACAACCGGTCAAAGGTTTCTTTTTAAGGGTTTATATTTTTAGTAATAACTTTACCTCGTGTTTTCCATTGCTGAATTACTATCTCACAAGAACTTTTTACTTTGGCAGGTAACCCGAAGTGTAGATACCCAATCTGGATACTTGAGCTCACAGGAGCAGAAAACTGTTGATTCTATTGTTAAGGCCAGGTAACTTTAGAGCGCCTTGCTAATTTTATATCTTATAAGTACCCTTGACGATGTTTTATTGAAAGTGTATCTATTGTGAATTTAGTTTCAATATGTTCCTTATGAGATTGTTGGCTTCATTGGGTTACTTTATCCTGATTCTGTTGTAAATTTTTTTCATTAAGCTTCTGGAGTTTCTGACGTATTCTTTAGTACTGTAACTTTACTTTGAATGACTAGGATATCTAGTGGGAACAGAAATTGGGGTTGGAGAGAGTAAAGTAAGTTTCCATCTCTCTCTTTGTTTTTTTGACACTCTTACATGTGGGGACTTGGGGTCGGAGAGAGTCAAGAAATTGTTCTCCCTCTCTCTGTTTCTTTGCACTCTCACAGGGATGGAGGGGGTGAGGGGTGAAGTGAGGCTTGGGCCGAGGGAGTAACGGTAGTTGCCAAGCTTAAATTATCTTTTTCGTTGGTGAAATTCTACTTCAGATTATTATTATTACTTCACAATTTAGAAAGAATATTGTTTTATTTTATGATTTTCTTATAAGGTTCTGATTTTGCAAGTTTGTATGCATATTGTGAATTTTATGAAATCTTTTTTACATAATCAATTCTTTTTTTTTTTCTTTGCACGTGTTAAGTGTGTGTGGTTTCTTAAATCTGACTGTTCACTCCTGAGTCATTTTTTTTTTTTTGGGAGAAAAGAGATCAAGTTTCTAAAGTAGTCATGGCTTGGCATTTGTACTTGCAGTGACTGATTTACTTGGAAATTTTTAACATGTTAAGCTCATATTTTTGCAAATAATTGTCAGTCAAACTATCCCTTCACTGATTTCCTTTGTCGTTGCAGTGAATTTCCACTATCCATTGTGTTGGTTGGAGTTGGGGATGGCCCTTGGGATATGATGAAGGAATTTGATGACAACATTCCTGCCCGTTCCTTTGACAATTTCCAGGTGAAATTTTGTTTTTCCTCAAACCATCTTTTAAAATATGCAAGCAAGTAACCTATGTATACTTTTGCAGTTTGTAAATTTTACTGAGATCATGTCCAAGAATACGCATCAAAAAAGAAAGGAGACGGAATTTGCTCTTGCAGCATTAATGGAAATACCTTCTCAATATAAAGCTACAATTGAGCTTGGAATCTTGGGGTATGGCATTTTAAGACGACTCTATTGTTTTGTTAATGTTGCCAACGCATTAACCTCCCTTCTTTTTTAACGTAACCTCCTGATTTCGTCTGTATATCTCATTCATCAGTAAATCAGCGAGGTCTCCTCAAAGAATCGCCCTACCCCCACCTGATGGAAGCCGTGCAGCAGCAGCCTTTGGCTCCAAATCGTTTCAATCTACCAGTTTTCAGAAGAGTTCAACGCCTTATACTGGATACGATTCACCAACTAGCTATGCTCCATCTGCCTCAAGTGCTTCATGGGAACAGGTAATGAAGATACAATATTCTTTCTAATATTTATTTGTGATTATATCTTCTTCATTGTATTTACACGTTTAATTGCAGCAGCATTTCCTTTTTTTTTTTACGTTCTCTTCTTAACTTAGTTTTCTTTACTATGGCCTGTGTTGTAATCTAGTCATCTAAAGCATTGATTGAATAGAAGCAATTAAAATTCAAGTAACACACTTTAGAATTTTTTTTTTTACACTACCGTTGCCAAGTCCCAAGTCCTAAATGAGAAAAGTGGAAGATTGTGTTAGGTAATTGATAGCCAGCATAAAACTTGTCGAATAATCATGATATGAATCCTTTAATACATTGTGTTAATGCTAGGGTGTTCCCTAGAACTGACGAGTTGTATGACTTAAATACATCGAGAAGCGTGTAAGGGCCATTGCACCGGTGCCTGGGTGCAGTGTTAAATAAGCAAGAGTTCCCCCATCATAGACGAATGTGGGCAAAGAAGTAGTCCATGAAACTAGAATTAGGATTGGATCTTGTAATGTAGGTTCCCTTATAAGCAAATTAATGGAATTAGTATATATTATGGCTCATAGGCATAGAAATATTCTATGCGTACAGGAAAATAAATGGGTTGGAGAGAAAGTTAAGGAGATTGATAGTTTATGATTTAAATTTTGGTATTGTGGTAGGAGTCGTATTAGAAATAGTGTATGTGTGATTATATATTAGTGTTTGAAGGATAATATTGTAAAAATTAAAAGAATTGTAGCTTTGATGATTATTATTAATGCTAAAATTATTAATATTATAAGTGATTATGCTTCTCAAATATGTTTAGATATATGTTCTAAATTAAAATTTTGAAATAACTTAGAAGAATTAATACAAAGATGTCTTTTGAAGAAAGAGTTTTTATTAGAGGAAATTTAAATGGACATGTTGGTAGAGAGGTAGATGATTTTAAAAGCATGGTGGCTGTGAGTTTGAAGTAAACAATGAAGATGGTAAGACCATATTAGATTTTGCTTTAGCTTATGATTTTGTAAATGATAATATCTTTTTTTAATAAAAGAGATGAGCATCTCACACCTGTAAGAATGGATATAGTAAAACTCAGATTGATTATTTTTTCAATAGATAATTTAGATTGCAAAGATTAAAATTTATTTCGAGTGAAAGTTTATATACCAAGCATTGCTTATTAGTTTTTGACTTTAAGGTGAAGGGGTCGAATATGAAAAATAAAGTAAAACATTGTTCTAAGATTAGATAGGGGCATTTAAAGAATATAAATATAAATATTTTTTAAAGTAAGATTCGAGATCATAAGATTTTATTTGTGCATGAGAAAATAATGTTATGTGGGAAAAAGTAGTTATGGATATTAAGAATGCTGCAAAGGATATGCTTAGAGTGTCAAAAGGAGAAGTTCAAATATTAAAAATAGTTGGTGGTGGAATCAAAATGTGCAAGAAAAGATAAAAAATAAGAAGAATTGTTATAAAAATTGGTTTAGATATAAAATCGCTCAAAATTAGGAAAATTATAAAGAGACCCATAAGGAGTCTAAGAAAGCAATATGTGAAGGAGTCTAAGAAAGCAATATGTGATGCAAAGATTTTAGCTTTTAATGATTTATATAATATATTAGATATACTAAGAAGAGTGAAAGATATATGTATAAGTTAGTCAAACTAAGAGATAGGAGCAGTAAAGATTTAGTTCAATTGAAGTGTATTAAAGGTGAACAAAAAAAGTATTTTTATTAGAAGATGATATTCAACAAAGGTGGATGAGATGATAGTGAATGCATCGGGCTTGTTTTGTGATAGAAAATTATCCCTCAAACTTAAAGGAAAATTCTATAAGATGATAGTGAGACCTGTAATGCTTTATGGCGCATAATATTGGCCATTAATTAAAAGAGAAACGTAATATTAAGATAAGTGTTGTAGAAATGAGGATGCTTACGCGGATGACTCGGCTTTACTTTTAGGGATAGGATACGAAACAAGTATATATGTGAAAAGGTTGGAGTAGTTTCAGTGGCAGTTAAGATTAGAGAGTCGTCTTAGATGGTTTAGTCACATAAAACGGCGGCCTTCCCATGACCCGATTAGGAGAGTAAATGTATCAGATTTAGCTTATATTAACGAAGGTAGAGGTAGAACTAAGAAAACTATGTTATAAAATATTAGAAATGATATTTCTTTATTAGATTTAAATAAGAATTTAACTCTTAAAATGGCATAATGGAGAAAATGAATTCATGTAGCTGACCCACAGTGGGATAAAGGCTTGATGTTATTGTTGTTGTTATTGTATCTTACTTAATCTATACAACAACTTCATAAAACTTGTCGAATAATCAACACCATGACACAATAGAAAAAAATGATTATTGTAGTTGATCCCACATAATAGGGGATGAAGGCTTATGTTGTTATTACTATGTTATCCTATCTAAACTATAGAATACAATGCAATTAATTAATGAAATAAACTTATAATTCATCCTTTCCTCTTAAATTATAAAATATTGTACAATAATAATCTGTTTTGCTTTGCTAATCATACTTTTTTTTCTAATCAGGCTAGCTGTCCAATATGCCTCACGAACCCGAAAAATCTGGCCTTCGGATGTGGGCATCAGGTAAAAATTTCTTTTTTAACAAAATACTTTCATTTCTTATCTACTTATTCACTTTCCTATCATTTATTTTATATTGAAATCGGCTCCTTTCAGACCTGCTATGACTGCGGACAGTCCCTGTTAACCTGCCCAATATGCCGCAGCGAAATCGTCACCAGAATAAGGCTTTACTAAGCCTGGCTGAACAGAAGTTTCATTGAATAAAACGGCAAGGCAGCTGATGCAAAGTCCCCTCAAATTACTGTTTCTTTCATTAATTTCAATTACTGATTTGTTGGTTCAAATTCGTTCAAGTAGTTGGACAAAAGTGTTAAATGGTTCCTAGTTTGTTTATCTGACAAAGGGAATTTACGCTTCTTAACGCAGCTTTTTACTTGAAAAATTAATTTTTTTGTACTAAAATGCCGCTTTTTAGAAAGTGGTCCCAAACAAAGTCTTAGTTCTCTGTTATGCATATTGATATGTAGCTATTCATGTATGTGTAACAGCATTCTGTTCATATATAACTCATCCATCTCAGCTTGCATTTTAATTCATTTGGAACTATTGTGAATATGAAGGCTTTCTTGTTTGAGATCTTTTGTTCCCATTTATTCTCTGCATATTATTCTCAGTAACATTAATTTGATTTGACCATATACTTCTTAGTAGTTTTTAATGATTATTTAAAGTTAAGGGAAGTTATAATTGGAATTTTGTAAAATTTCCCTTTTTTATAATTTTTTTGGGATGATGAGTGGCAAGGAAGTCCTTCTATTTGTGCTAGATTTGAATTCAAGATCTTGACAATAACTTTCAAGATTTTTGTACTGTTCATATAATGATGTAGAAGCTCCTTGCAACACTGTTATACAGTGGTAATAGAATGACAACTCTTTCTCGGTTTCATTGTTTAAATTTGCACAAGAGGGGGCCTCTCAAGGATTAATTATTTTATGCGGACGCCAAATGCCGTCTGAAAAATAATCATAATGTGTCATGTCTTCCCTTCATTTGATATAGCAGTTCAGTACCGTTGATATGGCGCATTTTGGTTGGTCTCCGGACGACATTCTGCATCCATACATAAAAATTTCTCCATCTCAATGCCCCATCTCACATTCTCACATGTATATGTGAGGTATATATATCATATGTACATGATATAACTCACAGATAGAATATATCATATTATATTGAATTATAACATGATAGAAATTCTAAGACCTAATTTAAGATAATTATATGATTTCCAATATAATTTATAGACTACATAGTTACTAAAATTTTAATGAAGCTCATAAATGCTCATCATCAAAAATTTTTTCATTCATCTTAAAAGTATTTATAATCAAAACAATTATCTATAGATAGTTCATGACCCGTACATCAAAGAGTTGAACAGAAGAAGTCATGACTATCAAAATCTTATCCGACATACTTATACAAACACAGATCCTGCAACATTTCTCTACTCAACATGTCTCTCTTATTATCCTGTTCTAAAACAATTGTAGAAAGCAGGTATAAGCAATAATGACTCAGTAAATCATATTCAACCTATTCAAATTCTTTAATAATAATAATAATAATTAGCGATAATTAAAAAATAAAAATTTAAGTAACTTCATTCGTACAAAAGTGTAAACAAATTGCTCAAATTAAATCTCAGAATTCATAAGCAACAGAAAAGTAAACACATCAATCAATTGCTCAAGATAGAGTATTTCTTTGAAGCTTTTATGGCTCCCATAAGCATGCAGAGATATTCATAGACATGTATGGAATTGAATGCAAAATTTTAAAACACATGTGACCAACTAAATCGTTTTCATATCAATTTAGAATAATATTGCATTACATGGCTATTGTTATCCGAGTGTCATTTCCAAACAGTTTTCGCTTGATCGCCATTGTCCAATCATCATAATTCATTCATTATCATCCGACCATCGCCATCATATCACTGTCATTCAATCATCATCGCCCGACTAACATCATCTAACTGCTCCATCTCCAACTTTCTCCTTCGTGTTTAAATAATAACTTGTATTACATATTTTGTAATTCAATTGATTGGAAAAGATGACTCATGTGACCTACCTACATAAAAGCTCATTTCATCTAGGCTAGGCTTTTTTCCCCTAATTGAATTTTCTTGCTTAAAAATTATAGTGGCTAGTGCATTATTTTTTATCATTTGGCTATGTTGGATCTTAGTGAAAAACTAAAACAATTAAATTATTATACAAGATCATGATAGAATTTACATACATACCTCAAAATTATTATATATTTACATATTTGTCGTCTAATTTTTTATATACAAAATTTCTAAATCACATCAAGACATATGCATAGAGAATCATGTTTTACTTTAAATAACTTAATATTATTAATATTTTTAATGTGCTTTAGATATTTGAGTATTTTATAAATAAATATAAAAATTTAAATATTAGATATATAAATACATAAAAATTTATAGTAGATACGTAAATCTCTTATAATTAAATTATTAAATATTCACATTCATAATCATGATAAAAATAATAAATGAAAATATTTTAATTAAATATTCTAATAATTTATTTCTATTTTTATAATATTATCTAATAATTTAGATGATTATAGGATAATATGTGAGGTGTTAAGTAATTAAAATAATAATAGGTGCAGTAAAATAATAATAATTTGCACAGTATAAAAATAGGAATATCCTAAAAGATCTTTTTTAAAATATTATATTAAATTAATTACTAATTTTATTTAAGCCAATGGCGCGTACCGTTAATTTCCTGCAAATCAAATATGTTGCTGACGTGGAAAGATTGCTGAGCTGGACCTTTTTGCCTCCCGCAAAGATGCGCCGGGCGTGATGCACGTGAACGCCGGGCACGCGCCGCTGCGTGCGTGAACGCGGCCGACCACGGAATGTTGTCCCTCTTTTGAATCATACACCAAACACAATATCCAACCATTCATATAAACACACATCAAATAATTAATTACGATCCGTGCAATCGTGATTAAGAAATTCGTATCGGATCTTACGCGAACCTCTCCATGGTGGCCGCATAAAATCGTATTCTCCGTTTGTCGTCAGATTTGGAAAGCGGGATAGAAGGTAGAAGCAAACGAGTTGAGAATTCCAAAGCCCGCCCCTCTCTCTCTCTACGACTTTGTCGTCAATGGCTTCCTCTTCGTGGTCTCTGGAGATCGCCGGAGGAGCAAGCAAGCCGGTGTGCTTCGGTCGCGACCTCCCGCAGAGGACACGCCGTCGTTTCTCTTCGCTGCGGCTTAATCCACCGCTGCGGCGGAGGCAAACCGCGGCGGCGGCTTTGGAGTTCCACCCAACACCAAGTATATCGCCGCCGCCGGTGAGGATTGATTCGTTGACTACGTTCGCCGAACGGGCGAGAGATGGACGTGATCGGATCACGCCGCAGAAGTTGGATGACTGGATGCGAGAGTCCGTTGGAGAGGTGCGTTCCAAGTATTGATTTAAATTATGTTTAGCCAATATGGATTGAGTTAAATCGGATGAAATTGTAATTAAATGAAATTGTGGTTAATTGATGGAGCAGATTGTGAGGAACATTGGAAAAGCCCCTTTTCTGGTGCGGATTTTCTCCGACGAATCTGAATCGAAGCAGATTAGTTCGACGATTGAGAAGGAAGACGCGACGGCGGAGAGCTGGTTGGGGATCAAGAAGCGTTGGGAACAGGAAAGCTCTGTTCCGGATGGGGTCATTCTGGTGGAAGAGCTGGATGCCGAGGAAGATGAAGAAGGTGATGATGTAGCTGCGTCCAATGAGGAAGGAGGTGACCGTAGCAACGTGAGATGGGGAGTGGTGATCCAAGGACGGGGGATGGATTGCTCGGCATGCTATATACTGGATACTTCCAAGGTACGATCTTCTATGGGGTTCTGTACGCATTTCTGCTTGGTGAGAGCTAAATGTTTTGGAGATCCGGTGGGAGTACAGCTTAAGAATGCTTGGCTGCAGTCTGAGAGGTAGAAGATGAAAGCTTTCAGCTGCTTGTGTTGAATGACTTGAACCTTTTGATTCCTTGATAGAATCATTTATGGAATTGGGAATTGTGTATAGAACATAGCTTTTGATTCAATTTACATATTTCATTTCTGTGAAATTTGTTTTAATCATTTTATCTTTGTAATTTGATGTGGAAGATAGATTTGTATTATGATTTACATTTCACTGAAATTTCAATTTTTATTTTTTTCAAAATTTGTTTTTGCATTATACTGTTTTAAAATCAATATTGTGACTTTGAGGAGGGGGCGAAGAGATTTAATGAAAAAAATTGGTTATTTTTAAAGAAGAATGTAAACATCAAAAGTTTTGCAAGCAAAATACAACATGAACTTGAATGATTCTTGCAAGGTAATTTGCTGTTGCGTATGAAAAACAAAGAGTTGGATGGATGGATATTAATCATATTCAAAATTTCTTTTTGTTTTGTACATAATCAGACAGTCAAGTAATGAATGGAGATTAAAGATTTTTATGTGAAATATTTCCTTCAAGAAAACTAAGAGGTCTTTGATTGGTTGAGTAGTTTTAACTAATGATAAAAAAGAGTAAAAAGGCATTGGATTTCCCTAATTAATCTAATAAGTATAGAATTGTGGTTTGTTTTGCTTATGAATGAAATGATGGCTTGATTTGATAGTTAAGAGTTGAGTGATTTAGTGGAGCCAAGGTAATTGTGGCTTCATTTGAGAGTTAAGGTATGATTTGTAGTAAGTATTATTTTATTGTCGAGATCTAATACATGTCTTGTTGTTGCTGCCGAAGTTTTATAAGTGATGGTTATAATTTAGGGTTGACCCGTTTTGCACCCGGTCAGTTTGGATTCGACCCGAACCCGAACCCGACCCGTTACCCGAAATTGACACCCCTAGCCATTGGGTGCCATGATGAGTGACAAGATCATCACATAAGACAATTGTAAGGGGCAAGAGGCACATTGAGAGGTGAATTCTACATTATGCTAAAGGTTGTTCTAGGCCAATCATGCAAAGAAGCTTAAGAGCAATTGTTGCTATTAATATAACGGGTCATGAGCCGTTCAGTTCGATGAACACGACAGGTGTTGGGATCGGATAGTGAGGCAACTGATTAGAGAAACTTGATCAACATACTGACCAATTAATTATAAGGGTATACCTGTAAGATGTAAAATGGGCAAGCTAACTGCTTGAGCTTGTGATAAGTTAGTCAGCTTAATGCTAGCATTTAAGCTTAAATTGTTTATCATAGATGCTATTAGTCGAGTCGAGTGCGCTTGTAATGGCTTTCGAGATGTGGGCTACAGAGGAAACTGACAAGTGTGTTATTAAGTTTGGAATCCCTTTTATGTCACTAAGGTTTTGTTTGGGATGACTTTCTTACTGCTTCTTGAAGCAGCTTTATAGTGCAAATATTTAAGTTTTTGTACTAAAAAGCTGTTTTAAGAAGCAATAAAAAAGACGTTCTAAACGGGACAGCTTTCTTACTACTTCTTAAAGCAATTTTTTAGTTCAAAAATTAAAATTTTAATAATAAAAAGCTGCTTTAAGAAGCAATGAGAAAGCCGTCCCAAACGAAGCCTAAGTCTTCCTTGGATGAGAAATTATTCTATGCGCAGTCTGGACAGTTTTACGAGAACAAACATCCGAATGATTCCGCACAGAATAATTTCTTTTGTCCGGAGCTTCTTTTTGTTTTCTAAAACAACTTTTTATTACTCATACATAAAAAAAAACATCTTAATTGGGCACGAATCTTGAGGCAAAATCAAGTTGGAAACTTCTGAAATTAAAATTGGGACCATCCGAACTCTGATTTTAGCAAACTTACAGTTGAATTGAATGTCTCGGAAATACGAACCCAACGACACCAAATTCGACTCAATCCGAGCTCAAATGTGTCCAAATCAAGGGCCCGAAGCGTTGTTGGAGTTTTCAAACCACAATTTAGATTACCAAACGATTTCAAAACGTTACTTGCTTATAGTCGAATCGAGCGGCTCAACGAGACGAATCCAACGAGCCCAAGATCATGGAATTTTGACATCATTAAGAGATTCAAATGTCTAGTGAACAGTCCATGATCGGATGTCCATCCAAACCACTCCTCATTTCTCTTTGATCTTCCGGCTATTTACGAGCCATGCCACTCTAAGAAATCTATAAATAAACCCCTCCTCCCTCTTGAAAATGAACCCGTAAGCCTAAGGAGAAAAGACAGAGATTAGAGATCGCTCTTGCCTCCTTACCTCCTCGACCATTGCCGGACCACCACCTGAGGCTCGGACTTCTACAAAACCACCACTTAAAGCCCGAAGTTTTGCCACCTAAGGCCTGGACTTCGTCAGACCACCACCAGAGGCCCAGAGTTCCGCTGAACCCCCACTTGACGCCCGGAGTACGCCTGAAGTTCTGCCAGACCATCACTTGAGGTTCTGAGCTCCGTCGGACCACCATCTAATAATGGATTTCCGCCGAACCATCGCCCGACGCTGAAGTTCTGCCAAGCCAATGTCAGGCTATCAAGTAAAGCCAAAATTTTCATGTAGCACCTAAATTCTATCAGTCCACCAGGTGACGCTAGACTTTCATCCCCGTTGTCACTAGATTTCAGCCAAATAATTGAAATTTGTAATATGATCGCCCTCAGGGATGAGTCGGCCCATTGTAGTCTACCCAAACACTAGTGTAATTATTTCAGACTGATCAGACACCTTGGTTTTTTCCCCTTTCTAGAGTTTTCCACTTAAAAAAATCTTGTGTTCTCTATGTGTGAGCTGGATATTCGTACAACGCTAAGACGTAGTATTTTAACTTTATCATCACATATACTGTAGCCCGCAACAATTACAAAAAAAAAATTGATTTAGAAATTTTTATACTCTATAGCTTCTTTAGAAAGTAGTAGCAAAATTGTCACAAACGAAACCTAAGTGGGGTCTAGAATTGTAAGTGAGTCTAACTGACTCATGAGCGAGCTCGATAAATGGTTCGGGAGCCCAGCTCAATGAGTCGATAAGCCAAGGTTAGTTCAACCTCGACTCGACTTATTAGTTCGCAAAACAACTCATAGAAAAATAAATTAATGATTACTTATATTCTAATTAGAATTCACGAGTTCAAGTATAAAACTATTAAAATTCAAGAATTCAAGTATAAAACTGTTAAATATATTTAAAAATTATATCTCACTTTGAAAATAAAGTCATTCTTTATTATTTAAACTTTATATTACTACTAACTAAAAATAAATATGAAAAATAAGACATTACATCTTTAATTTAAATAATAATAATAATAATAAATTCATTTTAGTTTATAAGTTTACTTTTGATAGTATTGCTATGTTCTTTTAACAAAATTTTAAATTTTTTAGAGCATTTGAATATTTTTGGCTTTCGTAAGATTTATGTAAAAAAAAATAGACACAAGTTTCTTGTTCTTTGCCGTCTCCGTGTCCTTCTCCCTCTTGACCCTCCCTTTTACGTCTTAGCAAAACTCGGCAACCGCCATGGCGACGGCGCTTCGCTGGTCACCTCTATCCATCTCCAAATGCTTCCTCCTCGTCTCTCGCCGCCTTTCATATCCATCTCTCCAGCTTTACATCCACTCCCTTCTACCACAACCGCTCAACCCCCGCCCCAATCTCAGCCCACCTCTCTCCGCCGTTCCACTTTCATCCTCCATTTTTTATCACCCCCGCTTCATTCTCCGCGCCTTCTCCTCCAATTCGAACACCAACAGTCCCTCCTCATTCGACTGGTCTGACGATGAGGACGACACGAAGATCAAAGAAGTGGCGAAGGGTAACAAAACCATGCCCCCTCCTTACGACCCCTTTAACAAGAAACCCGCGATAGAGGAACCCAAAGACCCTTCCAATCTCCAGGAAATCTTCCACAAGCTGCGCACGGATGGCCTCACTAATAGCGCCGTTAAGATGTTCGACGCTTTGTCTAAGGACGGACTCACTCACGAGGCCCTCGAGCTCTTCGCAGTTATCAAAGATAAGGGCAATATGCCTGATGTCGTCGCCCACACTGCTGTAATCGAGGCCTACGCCAACGCCGGCGGGCATTCCAAAGAAACTATACGTACCTTCGATCGAATGCTTGCTTCCGGCGTTTCTCCTAACGCTTACACTTACGCAGTTCTCGTGAAGGGTCTTGCTAGGGATTCCAAACTCCCGGAGGCGAGAAAGTACCTGCTTGAGATGATGGGCAAGGGAATGAAGCCCAATGCTCCTACCTACTTGGCGGTCTTCGAGGCATACCTTCGCGAGCAGCAGCTTGATGATGCCAGGATTCTGCTCGATGAAATGAGAGGAAAGGGATTTCGACCAGATGAGAAGGCTGTGAGAGAGAATCTCAGCAAACGAGGTCAGGTATTCAGAGGTATTATGAGCCTTCTCTTCGGCAGGTGAAGCTGGAAGCTTCCATGATGTGTTTGATGAAATGCCTGTGCAAAAAAGAAAAATCAACGGGGGATACCCCGGCTACATTGTGTGAGTTATTCTCCTCCTCCCATGCCTAGTTTGTTTTGTAGTTGCTTGTGTCTATGTTGGTTAAGTTTGATTGCAAAGCTTCTACCATTATATATGTGGTTTTATCTTTCTTCTTAAAATGTTTGCGTTGATGATTTCTATCAAATTCTTGGTGCAAAACAGCCCTAAACACTAGATGTGGTCATGTTCCTTCATTGGGTGAGACTGGTGGCTTTTAGAGGAGAATTATTACATGTAGAGTCCGGTTATGCTCGGGCTCCAATATAAACGTAACATGTGTTTTTGTATAAAGTGAGTATAAACTTATATACATAATATACATATTATGTACACAGTGTGTACAAATTTATATACACTATGTACAAGAACATATGTCACTTTTTATTAGAGTTTGGACGTAATTCTACATCCGGACGTCGCACGTTATAATTTCTCCTCTAGAGAGGCGAAGTCCACGTTATAGACATATTAGTGTGATGATCTTCTTGGGGAGAGACCCATGGCCCCTCAGGTTAGGGTTGTTTTGCTCGACTCTACATGATCATTTGTTATTTTCATGGAGTGTTTTATGATCTAATAATAATATACTCTATATTGGATGATGGGTTGTTAGTGGCTATGTATTACTTTTTGTACAATATGTATGTTCCACAAATTCCTTCCAAATAAAACGTGGTTGTGGAGAACTGTGTGGCATTTGACCTAATAATGACAGATTTTTTTCATAAATTACTTGCTCATGCATTTATATTTGATATTTTAATTAATTTTAGCTTATAACTTAACTATCTTTATTACACAATTTTAAATTAAACTAACTATAGCCATTGTCGAATCCTAGCTGATTGCCATACTTAATTATCCTTTTAAGAGCAAGTTGTCTAGTTAAGGCTTCGCCTAGTTGACCTAATAATGACAGATATTTAAAATCCCATTTTTATAAATGGCTTGCTTATGCATTTATATTTAATATTTTAAATTAATTTCAGCATATAACTTAACTATGTTTATTACACAATTTTAAATTAAACCAACTATATCCATTGTTGAATCCTAGCTGCTTGCCATACTTAATTATCCTTTTAGGAGTAAGTTGATTAGTTAAGGCTTCGCCTAGGAGCATAACCAAGTAGCTATAGTTATTGAGTTTGAAATTGAATAAAACAATAAATTAAAAAATAACAAATAATCACTTGATATTAAAAATTTATTTTTATAATTTTTTAATACTTTTAGACTTAATAAAAATTTTAATATGTTTTACATATATTTCATATCAATATTTTTAAATAAAAATTTTACAAATTAAACAAAGTTGGCTCACTAATATTTCAAATACAATATATGAGTCTTTTGTCAAGTCAAATACTCAATCCCAACTAGCTCATCTCATAGCATAACCCTAGCCCAACTTAAGGATTCTCTCCTTTTGTGTAGATATTATTTTGTGAGAACACTATACCATCCTGAAGGGAATCATAACACATCAAATTACTTAGTACACAATAGATACACAAACATGCACAACAAATGTGTGACATTACAAGCTCTAATTCACCTTTAGACGCAATCCATACTCACATAGAATAGCTTCACCCTTACATGAGGACTCATATATTGTAAACCTTGTGGCAGAGTGAAGTTCAACTTTGAGTCTTAATTTTTGTACCACCATGGTGCTTTAGGTTAGTTGAAAATGCATTGGATTACTTACAATCAGACTTTCTCGTACAAGCTTCAATTATTAATTGTTTTGTAAACCTAATTTGAAAGTAACAACTATTCACCATTTGAAAATAATCAACAGAGCAATCTTCTTTTATGAAGAGAAAAGATCATTAGGACTACCCAAAAAATTTTAAGAAGACACAAATGGGGCTCGTTCATTAAAAAAGAAAATTACATCGAGGTTCCACTACTCATGTTAGGTTAGTCTGCTTCTATATATCATAAACCATTAATGTACAAAGGAAACAATTTTATGTTATTCCATTCTGCGATTATTATTCCTGAAGAAGGGATGTCTAAGAGCTTCATGAGCCGTCAAACGCTCAGCTGGCTCATACTTGAACATACCTTGCAACAAATCGATCAGATCTCCAGCAGACCGATCCACATGCTTCATAACCAAGTTCTGAAAAGCCAAAGATACAAATTACAACTACAAAAATTACTACCATTTTCAAGCAACGTTTGCTCCAAAATACCTGAAGTCGAAGCATTTTATGAACGGCATTGATGCTCTCCCTGGAGGAAGCACCTTCTGGCCAGTTCAAACGAGTTCTTCGAAAATATTTCTCTGCGTGTCTACTGAAATGATTCAAGAGAAAATTGAATATCCTGTCACGCAAAAGCCTTATGTTTCACGGCAAATTATTCTGTGGAGACCACACACAAGCATCATTCGGATTTATTGCGCTTTTACAAAAAGCAGCTAATATACAATTTTAATTGAGTATTAGCGGTCCTTTTACTACGCTTTTGCTGAGTATTTGTCAAATAACAAATGCTCAATTTGTAAGATATTTGCTGCATTTTTACTACGATGTTGCTGTATATTAGCCGCCTTTTGCAAAAATACAGCAACAGCACAGTAAAAGCGCAGCAAATCCGAACGCAAACTTGAGTGCGGTCTCTGCACAGAATAATTTGCCCTGTTTCGCAGCTACAAAATTCATTCAGTGGGGCTGGTTACAAGGATTACTTACTCTGCCCTTTTCATCATATGACGGGGTATGGGACCAAGCACCCTCTCCATCATGGCAAGGTGCTCAAGGTTTTCATGAGTCTGAAACAAAGCCTCCCCCTGCAACAAAAAGATATTTTCAAAATTAGTATTTTGAGACATTTACTCTGTTATAAGTTGTAAAATATGAGACAAGTATATCGTACAGAGCAAAGCTCCACAAGTATACAGCCCAGGCTCCATACATCACATGGGTAACTCCATCCAAGCCCTGTTTCAAGCATTCAAAGAGTTATATAACAAACTCACACAAGCTAATAATAACATAAGAGGATGAATATAACTATTATAGTTCTGAACAAACCTAATATAACTTCAGGAGCCCTATAATGTCTCGTTGATACAATATAATTGTGATCGCGGCTATCGTAAGTTGTGCTTCCAAAATCAATTACCTTAACGGCACTTGACTTGGGTAATCTCATGTTGTTACTGGGAAACTGAGCCAATCAAAGGAAATGAGCAAACCAAGATTTATCAAGTAAACAATTTAACACTAAACAAACAATCCACATTTTTATTTTAATTTAGATATGAGAAAAAGAAATATATAACCAAAATACCTTGTGATCTGACACATTTACATGCTCTTGAGAAACAACAAGAATGTTCTCCGGCTTCAAATCAGTATGAATGAGACGCAAATCATGCATAACTGCACAGAGGTTCAACAATGGCAAATAGAATTAAATTTCCCCTCCATACAACCACTAAAAATAGTTGAAAGATGCCTAAAACGAATAGCGCAGACTGGCTGCAAATCATACAACTAAAAATATTAAAATAACCATAATTTAATTTTATAAACAATAGAATGTCAAGAGTTCAAACAGAAGCTATCCACACGAAAAGGCTTTCAAAGAAAGCAAAGATGCACTAATATTAAAAACAATCATAAAAAAAAACTGAAGAAAATGGAAGCATAGTCTATACATGCTACAGATTCCAATAGTTGTCTGCCAATCTCACGAACAAGATCAATTGGAAAGGGTCGGTAACCATTTTTTCGAAGAAAATCGTACAAACTTGGGCCAAGCTTCTCAAACACCTGTTAAAAGTCATTTAAATTCATGGGCATATTTTAGCCCCCAATGATCATCTTTCAAACTGGTGAAATCATTATAAACCAATTATACTTACAATACAGATATGGTTACGATAGTCAAACCAGTTCCTTATTTGCACACAACTGCAAAATATATCCATGTATAGATGAAATCCTACCCCTATCACCTAACAAAATAACAAAATATGGACATGGATAAGCAAGGCAGGTAAAACTTACAGGCCAGATGATGCTTGATGTTTTGCTAGCTGTTGAAGCACATCAATTTCAATCAGAGCAGCATCCCAATATTTCTTTATGCCTCTAACAATCTTAATTGCTACCATTTCTTTAGATTCCCGATCCCAACATTCTAGAACCTGACCAAAGGTACCTGAAAAGAAGCATTGCAAAATTAGTGCACCTATGCTAAAAGAGTTGTTTACATAGTTGAGAGATGTTGAAGCTTGTGAGATGTTGAAAGAAAAACATTTACTATTAAAGCCATCCACATAGAATAGTGCGGAACATGTAAAATATACACTTAATCATAAAGAAACAAAATCAACAACTAACCTTCTCCCATCTTGCTATAAATCTTATCTGCAAAAAATAGAGCAAAAAATTAGTCAAAAGAGGGAAAGATGACTGACAAGTGCATATCATCACAAAAACACCAAAACATAACCCAAATCAAAAAAAAAAAAACACAAAAACAGAAGAAATGGCAAACTAATCTTTAGGCAAAGAAACATGGTCAAACTAAAACAGTTAAAAATCTCTCAATGGCAAAAGGAAAAAATCTTTTAAAAATCTTTTGTTGAGTATTCTAGTCAAAACAATAATACAAGGAATACAAATGAGCAACAACAAAAAGAAAACGGAATAAAAAAAAGTTCAATAATTGCAACTATTTGAATGTATGACAATTCAATAAGCTAAAACACCAGAATTGATCAACGGAAATAACTTATACAGAAAAAAATCAACTAACAACAATGATGTCATCAAGTTAATTATGCAGTACTAAAAAGACAAGAAGATTATAAAACATAATACAATCTGATGAGAAAAAAAAAATAAACCCTACACCAAATCATGAATCACAGATTTATTAAAACATATATCACCAAAAGTCTATGACTAAAAACATTGATCCATAACTATAGGAGAAAATGCATCAAACTACACCCAAAAGATGTGCATATTGAACCAATCCAATTAATAGAATAAACAAATTCTAATAATTGTGATCAAGTATAATTACAGCGAGAAGTTAGATTTTCTCCAAGACCAAACATGTAATGGCCATCTTTATCATCTTCTCTCCATGGAGGGGAAGCAATTCGAGCCACACCCTTCGCATGCATAGTATAATAAGTATGGTCTGAAGGTGCCCCCACAGAGGCCAAGCTTGTAACACCACCAACTTCTTGCCCACATAAAACTCCTATCTGAGCCAACAAATAATAGCCACATTTTTATTGTTTTTCACACATCAAACAAAACTTCTTACTTCGCCCATCATATTTATAAAAATATTAGAATACAAAAGCATGGTAAGTATAAATACAAAAAAGAAATATTTTATAGAAAAAATCTCATGCAATGATTGAGGAATTACCATCGACTGAAGTGTGTTGAAATCTAATGCTACACGATTACTAAATATAACTAGTACTCGTGTGTAACTTTCAAGCTAACAATACCACAAAAGGAACAAACATGCTAGTAGTCAGTAGATGATCATGTTTGATGCTATGAAGCAATAGCAGATTTAGGAATTTGAAAAATGTATAATTGGCATGAAGGCAATGAGAGTGGATGTTCACCTTACATAATGAATGAAGATTTACCGTTACACATATCAATTCTTAGATGAAAAAAAAGGTAAAATGAATATTTTTTCAGCCAACATTGATAACTAAATCATAATATGTTTTATAATGTCATGAAACATCCAAATAAATAACGTCAGTATTGCCACAATCCCTACTCCCAGCCGAAAAAAGTTTCCAAGGAAATGGATGAATAATGCATGGCAATCACATGACAAGTATCATCCATCCAATGATCCTGAGGCTTATTTTGGGCTCTGAATTAAACAACAAAGTATATCTCTGGTTTGGTTAATTAAAATATGATTGGCAGTGGAATATTAATCAAGAAATCAATGTTTTCAAAATTGTTGGCACACAAGGCTACATGGCTACCAAACACCTGAGACACTAATGCCACCATAGGCTATAAGCTATATTTCTTAGATATTTATTTAAATTATGAGGAATACTCTGGAGTTAAAAAAAAAATATAATCTTAAGTTATGAATGATTCTTCAAGTTCCATTGGTTTGAGTTAGAAACTTGCTATAGATCTTAACTTAAACAATTACAAGTTACCCAAAATGACCCACTCAAATAGGAAATCCTAATTCAATGGACTTTTCAATAAAATCAAATAGATTTCTGGGAAGGCGCCATGCTCTATGAACAAACAACTTAAGATTGCATTTTGCACAGCCCAATTGTAATATAATCTTCATCACCATCTACTCTATATTTGATTCTTCATTATCATCCATATTTACTTCTCCATAATCGGATCTCACCCACTCGATGCATTTCTCTATTTTTTTGGATCCATCCCCATCATCTTTTTAATTTAATAATCTAAAAAATAAGTTCCTGCAGCTGCATTAAAAAAACTATTTATAAGAGCACATCCTTATTCACCTATTGATGCTCTTCTGATCTCATAATTCCAATTTATCATCATAAAAATATTAATCTCTTTCAACATTTGAGGCATTAGCAGCTACACTCCCCTCTAAATCAAGGAAAGACCCTCACATAGGCATGCCATAATAATTCTGCACAGGTGTTTGAGGACACTACGACCAATCCATGACAAGCAAAAGCACCTATATGAGCATCCAATCACCTTTAATGATGCAATACTTGTTGCCTTATTTTTTCATGACATATCCAAATGCAAATCAATATTTAGGGCATCTCCAACAAAAAACTTCATTTCTAACACCAAAATGCAAAAACAATCAAATCAAACAGTAATTCATCTTCAACCAATCTCCATTTCTAACACCAAAATGGAATATTATGTGTATTCTCTCATCTCCAACCAATAACTTCATTTCTAACATAAAAAATGGGTTTATGTGAATAATATGACGCCAATATTGGTGCTGCACTTTTCACATAGGAGATAAAAATAAATATGCATTTTAAATGTCGCTGCTACATAAATTTCGTATATGCTATATTGACCATATGTTTTTCTAACATAAAAAATGTTTATGAGAATAGTATGAACCCACTATTGGGGTTGCACTTTTCACAGAGGAGATAAAAATAAATATGCATTTTACATGTCGCTGCTACATAAATTTCTTATATGCTATATTGGTCATATGTTTTTTTTTTTAATAAATGCATTGAGAGCATCTAGATAAAAGTTATCTAGCAGCCCTGAGAAAAAAAAATTACCTAGACAGACCTATCATATTAAGTTGAATCAAAATCAGCCTAACAGCTTGCAAGAAACGTCAATAAAGTGGGCAAAGCGATATTTTTTTGTAAGGAAACAGCAAAAAGATCAGATCCAAACAGCCCTTTAATTTGTTAATCCATCAAAATAACAACCAAGCATGTTAGTGTCATTAACATCTTCAAACTAATAAATAATATCAGTTTGAGAAAGCTACCTTAGATCCTACGCCTGAATAACATGAAGAAACATTAAAAAGCTGGATTAGTTGTTATTATATGTTCAAACATACAATATATAAACCAATAAAATCTAGGGAAATTTACATACATACCACTTTATAACATCTATTTCATCACATCTTTCACATACAACTTGCTTATAGAAATCCCAAATACCACAACCCGATAGATCTAATCTTCCTCATGCGTAAAACTACCATGTACTCAAGAAAAAAAGCATATCCGTAGCAGATCTATCATTATATAAATCAATCAAAACATAATCTAAGGAAAAGCTAGATCTAGAACAATAAATAAAGGTTGTGAAAAGAACAAGAAGCGTATACCTGGCTAAACTGCAGATCAAAAAGAAAACTCAAGAAATCTAAAAATATAGAGAGAAATTTCAAATTTAAGCAAACAAAGCCTTAGAAATCAGTCATACCGTAGGAGCGATGGACACATCCCAGCCTAATCTCGCTCTCTTCCTTGGGCGATCTACGTGGGCATGGGGCAATTCGGTCAAGCATTCCAACTCCATGATCGGAACAGCAGAGGAATTTGGAATTTGGGGAAGAAAGGATCTTTCCGTCGTAGACTAATATTGATCAATACCGAAGCTCAGGCGTTTACCTTCGAATTTTATAGGCTAGGGTTTCAAGCCTTTCGGCTCATGTAAACCGTCTGATTCCAGATGAAGGGACAAAAACTCCAAGTCGGTGCTTGGGATATTCTAGGCATCTAAAACCGATCCGGTTCTGGACGATGTGGGTTGGTTGGCTTCGTTCGGTTTTGACCAATAAAATCCGGCCTGGTTCAAGCTGACCGGTCGAATACCCCTAATTGAATTTCGATAAAATATTTATAACAAAAAGGCGAGTACAATCTATTTACGGCTCTTTGGAAAGTCAATTTTTAAAAATAAATTAATAAAATAATAAAACGAACATTAAAAAAAATTTCAATTTAAATTTATAATACTAGAAAAAAAAATTATTCTACTACTACGGCTGGTTACTATACAAATTATTATCTTTACTGTAAATTATTAAGAGATAAATTTTCATATAAATATAATAAAAGAATGTTATTTTTTAATAATTTATAATCAAATATTTTATGTCTATCTTTATATTTACTAACATATATCGAATCGAATAGGGGCCGAGTTATAAATTTTTATTATTGGCGACACAAATTGATAATTTTAATATTACTCTTAACCATCTTCTTCTTCTTCTTTCTATTTATTAGTTTATAGTGAGATAATATTTTGATCTTTAAAAATATTAATATTTATTTTTAAAAAAGACTTAGCTCAATGAGTAATTTATGTTAGCTATGATTCATTAAGTTAAATTGATTTGGTTAATATTGCTTAATGAGTTAACATGATTGATCTATGGTTGGATTAAGCTCAATTAGGTGCACTAATATACTCTAATGAAAATCTTTGGCCAGCTAGAAGTTGAGTTAGATTAAATTTCTCAAATTATCCTTATAAATGGTTCAATAAGGCCAAATTTAACAAAATAAAATTGGTTAGGTTATGTCAACTTAAATGTCCACATAGTTTATATAAGATAAAAAGTTTTTTTGAGATAAATGTAATTTGTAGGTTAGGTTTGGCCTATGAAATAGGCTTAATTTGGGGGACTATAGCTTAATGAAGGGAATAAGTCCTAGATTGGGCCTTATTGGCTCAAAGTTTGGCCAATTTTGTTTTACTTAAGGTCATATAGGCTTACTATATCAGGAATTGACGTAATGATAACCTTAAGTTGAGGAAGGGCGCCACCATAGTTAAGATTGACTACTTAGGGCATCTTCAACCGAACTTCAAACGCTTGAATGACGTCCCTGGCCAGCTCTAGCCGAACCGCAAAATTTTCGCTATTTGGTTGCGGGTGAACAATGGGACATCAATATTGATGTTGCACTGTTCATCTCCGTCATTTTTACTTCTCTACCGAACTTGCCGCGGGAAAAAAGAGACGACCATTACCTGCAAAAAGGGTGAAAAGCGTAGTTCAATTGGAGATGAATCACAGCATTTTGAAGCTTCGCGGCATTTTGGAGTGAAAAATGAAATTTTTCGGTTGGAGATGCTCTTAAGCTTATGGGCATTTTGATGTAGGATTGTTTGGTCTAAGTCACTTGTCTTGCTGAGGTTGAGGCTTGGACAACTTGTCTTACCCAATTTACATGCAATTTGATGAGAAATTCTTGTAATTTTTTTTAGATAAATGTAATTTGTGGTCAAAATTGCCCATCATTTTTAAAATTGTTGAAACAACAGGTCTACAAAATATTAGTATTTTCTTAAATCATTCGGTTATAGGCTCAATGCTTCAAAATCTTAATAAAACTTGGAACTTTCTTTATCAACATAAATAATTTCAAATAGCTTGAAATTTAATATGTGGGTTGTTGTTAGAACAGCAATTATAAATATCAAAATGTCTATTAATATATTTGTATTACTGCTGTCCAATAGAAACTACACACGTGTAAAGCTAATGTTCCCTATGTCTTTATATACTTTGTGTAATAGCTTAGCTGAATAATGAGAATTAACATTCATCCCTCTTTCCTGTAATGCGTCATATTCTTCCTTCTTGATCGTCTGCATCGCATACTGATATTCAACATGGTATCAGAAGCGGTTTGATTCTCTGGGCATAGATTTTGCATGGCTTCTTCGTCATCTACTACGGCGATCGCCTACGGCGACAAGTCCGACAAATTTGCCCTTTATCCCTCTCTAAAATTCGTTGTCTCCAATTTAAAATCCTTGGTTCCTCATCATCTCTCTTCGGAGAACTATCAGATCTGGCGAAATCAAATACTCAAACTATTCAAGGCTAATGGCTTTGAGGAGTTTCTTGAACCAACGTCGGCTTCGACATTGTCTGGCCGCGATCAAGATCAAGAAAACGAAGATCCAAACGTTCGTAATACAAACTGGATCCTTACCGACCAGAACCTCACGGCAGCCATATGCTCTACAATATTAGCTCCGGTTCTTCCATATATTATGCATCTGGAGACCTCTGCGGAAATATGGCAGGCGTTGCAAACACGGTTTCAATCGTCTAGTAGATCAAAGGTGATTCAGCTCAAAAATGAGCTACACAACCTCTCTATGAACAACTTATCTATGCAGGCATATCTTGCCGAAATTAAGAAACTCGTGGACAACATCGCCTCTGCTGGTGCCAAGATGGATACCGAAGATATCATTCTTCATATCATGAACGGACTGCCTGCCTCGTATCAATCGTTCAAGACTTACATCAGAACAATGCAAAATCCGCTAACTCTAGATGCGCTCTATGCATTACTTATTTCTGAAGAAATTCATGTTCAAGCGGACTCCCAACGTCTCGCTATCCCTCAAGACGCCCAGACCGCTCTCTACTCGAACAGGGGTCGAGGACGCCGAGGCCGAGGACGCTCATCTCAAACTAATCAACCTGTTCAGAAACAGAGCGCCAAATCCTCACTCGTATGCCAAATCTGTACAAAAAGGGGGCACACGGCTGATATCTGTTGGCATAGACACAATGCCAACTACGTTACTCCAAGAACCACACTAGATACAAGTACCGCTCTTCTTGCCACGTCGGAATCATCCTCTACAGACTGGTATTTAGATTCGGGCGCCTCGTCTCACATGACAAATCGTCTTGATAATCTTACGCAAAGCTTGGTCTACAATGGTTCTGATCAGGTAACAGTGGGTGATGGCAGATCGGTTCCTATAGCTCACTTAGGGGTGTCAATTCGGGTCAACGGGTCGGGTTCGGGTCGAACCCGAAACTGACCCGGCACTATTCGGGTCAACCCGAACCCGACCCGTTTTTAAAAACGGGTCAGGTTTCTGGACCCGAACCCGACCCGATTCGGGTCCGGGTCAACCCGACCCGACACGAATGACCCGGAATTGACCCAAAATTGCTAATTTTCGGGTCAAAAATCGGGTCAATCTCGGGTTTTCGGGTCAAAATCGGGTCAAAAACGGGTCAATCTCGGGTTTTCGGGTCAAAAATGAGTTTTCGGGTCAATTTCGGGTTGGCGGTCAACCCGAACCCGACCCGATTTTTAAAACGGGTTGATTTCATGAACCCGAACCCGACCCGTTTCGGGTTTGGGTTGACCCGAACCCGGATTTTTCCGGGTCGGGTTCGGGTCGTGTTTCGTGTCGTGTCAAAAATTGACACCCCTAAGCTCACTCTAGGACAGGTCTGCTACCCACGCCGGATCGTAAGCTTCGTCTCTCAAATTTACTTCATATTCCATCCATTTCATATAATCTCTTGTCTATTTCTAATTTGGTTATAGAAAATCAAATCTCTATAACCTTTGATCCTAACGGCTATGTATTTAAGGATTTGCAGACTCAAACAATTCTGTTCAGAGGACCGTGTAGGAACGATCTCTACCTGCTCTCATCCTCTCTTGTCTCGCACCAGCATCAAGCTCTCTCGGCAATTCCTCAACGGGCCATCAACTGGCACTTCAGGCTCGGTCACCCGCATAGCAGAACTTTGCAAGCTATTTCCACTAATAATCCTCAGCTACACATACCGCATTATATTTCAAATTGTAGTTGGTGTAAAATTAACTTGTAAAGGTCATAAAATGTCATTTGTCAAATCCATACATAGATCTACTAAACCTCTTGCTCTTGTTCACTCGGATGTTTGGGGACCATCTCCGGTCTCCTCGCATCAGGGTCTGCGTTACTATCTCATTATAGTGGACGATTATTCTCACTTTACCTGGATTTTTCCTTGCTTACTGAAATCTAATGTTTCTCAGCTGTTTATGAATTTTATTATGTTTATTGAGAACCAAACAGACCGCAGAATTAAAGTAATTCGTATAGATGGTGGAACGGAATATGTCAATAATACATTTCGCAAATTTCTTCAATCAAAAGGTATTCAACACCAAACCTCATGCCCATACACTCCAGAACAAAACGGAGTAGCTGAACGCAAACACAGGCATGTGGTGGAAACCGCTCGGACTCTCTTACATACCGCCTCCATGCCACTATCATACTGGCCTGAAGCAATCAATACAGCAAACATCCATTGTATGAGCTTGGAGCTGCAAACCTTTTGGTGTAACAACTTAATGAGCTCTCTATTGTTGATTTGAAGAACCTTGCCGTTGTTTTTCCTGAATTTTATTCAGGTGAGCAAGATATGGAATTGGAGGAAGAAGACAAGCCTCCTGCTTCATCTGTTGCTGTCAATGATCACTTCTGGTAAGTTGAATTATCATTGTATAGTATAACGTTTATTTTCTGATTGGTTGAAATTTAATAAACTGGAGCAGGAAGGGATTGGTGTCCTTATATATGGTTAATTGAATATCAAATGCTCTAATATTTGGAAGTCTTTAAATATGAAGTAAATAGAGTAAATATAGATCGGTTATTGTACATTTCACTTTGTGCTACACTTTTTTTGAACTATGCATTCTATGAAAACGTAGCTTTTACATGGATTGAAAGTTTATTAAATTTGCGTTGAAGAACATTTGAAGTAAAGAGAAAATCTACTGAATATGACGGGATACAAAATGTGTATGTCATCATTATGTTTTCT